AACACTAGGAAGTTAAGTAACACTGTGCACGGTGGTGTACACCTGTAATCCCAGCACTCAGGAGGTGGAGGCAGGATGGAAAATTTGAGGCCAGCTTGGGCTACATAGTGAAATCCTGTCTTAGAACAACAAACACAAGAAAGTTAAGTGGCTCCTAAGAAGCACCCCCTGAAGAGAGCAGACATGTGGCAGGATGGAAGTGGAGTTGGGGTGTCTTATCCTGCGGTGTGAGCACAGGATGGGAAGGGAAGGGGGCTAGCTGTCGCAGGTGGGGCTGGCTGGGGTACAGAAAGTCGGCATAAGGAGGCACAGTGAGGAAGAGGTTGCTCCAGGTGCGTGGCAGCACTTGCAGGGCAGATCCTCTGTGGGGCCTCACCGGCCCAGAATTTCAAGGCCCTGGAGAAAGGGTGGGAGCAGGGGCTGCGATAGGGGGCTGATATGGTAACATGGGTAAAACTGTATCAGAAATGCTCCCCTGCCTGTCCCCAGGCCAAGTCCCTTGAGTCTGAGGCCACAAGCAGAACTACCATTCAAGGAGGCCCATCATGCTGGCTGCCTGCCAGCTGTGACAAGGCTGCCACCGCCCACACCTCCACCCTAATCCATCCCTGGGGAGCCCCACCTCTGCACAGTCCTCCAAAGGACGGCCCTGGTTTCTCTGGCTCAGACAACCCAGCTTTCCCTCTTGCGTCCCTCTCCCTGCTCAGGAGAGAGGCTGCCCCCAAGAGCCACCTTCTCCCCTGACCTTCCCCCCAACTCCCTCACTGCCTTCCCAGCTCCATTCTCCTCTGGATTGCTAGTGCCACACCATGTATTTCACTAGCTTCCTTGGCCTCAGCCCCTCCTACTGCAATGTCCAGGTTTCTCCTCTCTTCTGTTCCCTGCAGTAACTCTGGTACCTACAGCACAGCCTGCCCATGGTAGATTTGATGGGTGAGTTAAAGAGGTGAATCAAGATGACCAGGGAGAACAGCTGGGGTGCTCCAAGTCCTTGGGAGGAGTGACGGTGGAAAGGGGTGTGGATGAGGTTGAGGACACCAGGACCCCTCCCCTGACAGGCCCCAGTGCAGTAAAAAATGACACTGGCTCGCAGTGCATGATTGTGCAGGATCCAAGCTCACTCCTTGGATGGGATACAGCACATCTTACGCCCCAGCTTTCCGAAGTCCAGCAGTTTAGAGGTTGCAAAACCGATGGCCCCAGTGAAAGCCAGAGTCCTGTTGGCACTGGGCTGTGACCAGCCTCTAGAAGCACAATGCTGATGTGTTCAGCTGCTTTCTCTTCAGAGGCTGTTGGCTCAGCCCACTGGAATGGGGTGGCACTTCAGGACACGAAGCTTGGAGCTGGTGGCAGATTTCTTGGAACTGGTGGCAGGGAGATCTAAATTAAGACCTTTCTATCACAGCAAATAAATAGAAACTGAAATAGAAGACTGAAGGAACTGGGCGAAATGCCTTTATACATAACTGAAAAATGGAGGAGGAAAAGCCTTAGAAAACAGAACAGTATTTATTCACTGGAGCTCCCAGGTATTTGCTGAAAACAGTAACACCTCTGTCTGACACAAAAGCACACCAGAAAGAACAAGTTTCTCTCTTTTAAGTGCCCTGTGCCACTGAAGCCTGGCAATTCACATTGACCACCGTTGTCTGGAAGGCTGTCTTGGCCGGAGTGAGGGGCTGACTGGCCAGCCCATCTTCCCTCCCAGGGAGCTGAGTGGCCTACTCATGGTCCCTGATGAAACATGCTTGCGCTGGAGCTTGCTGGCATCCCTCTGGGGAGCCTCCTGAAGGGGCAGGAAGGATGCCTGACTTGGGTTCTGCCAGAAGGCCAGCTTTGGTTGGGGACAAAGATGCTGCCGGGACTGGTGCCCAAGGAAACACCAACAGGCTATCTCAACAACAGACTATGTCTCTGTTACTGGGCCAGGGCCTTGTGGGGAGCAGTGTCCTTCTAGGACAGCACTGAAGGGGGAGGGCCAGGAGTGAGGGCCCTGACCAGAGAGCAGTGGGAAGGAACTCATTCAGCAGAACCATCTCAGAAGGCTGGGGACCCTTCATCATCATCTCAGATGTGAAAGGAGAAAGGCAGACAGGGCGCCACAGGACCATCGACCAGACAGAACTCTACACATGGTGGGGGGAAGGGAGAGAAATGACCCAAATATTGTATGCACATATGAATAAAAAAAAAAAACTACGTATTAGCAGATTCCCCAGACAGGCAAGGACTGCGGGGACACATCTGCCCACGTCTGTAGTGTAAACCCTCCCACCACAGCTGACTGGGAGCTTCCGATGTGCCACCACTAATCACAGCACGAGCCACAGGACCCATTTTACAGTAGTTCCACAGACACTGTAACATTAACTCCAAGACACAGATAACAAGTTGTTGTTTTTAACGTATGTATTATATACATTTTAATAACAGCTGTGCTTAACCATGAGTCCACAGACTAACTGGCTTTTGTTATTGGGGCCAGCAGGAGCTCACTCCACCACCATACACCTTCACCAATGGCACGGGAATGGCAAAACAGCTCCTTGCTCAGTCAGATGGCCCTACTTGCCAGCACTAGGCAACTTCAAGACAATTTCTACCTCCTTTCTGTAAGGTTTTAACTATTTTCTTGATGGAGAGTGAAAAAATTTAGCTATCAAAACGTGTGAAGCATCTGGGTATTTGTGAAATACCTATTCAAGTTTTGCCTATCTCTGAACATACTGGCTACCTTTTTCTTTGTAAGTAAGTATGTGCTCCACCTTTCACTTATGGCTTGCCTTTTCACTGTCAATGGCAATGGCAACTTATCAAGGGTTTTCTGTTTTTTGTGGTACTGGGGTTTGAACTCATGGCCCTCAAGCTCACTAGCAGGTGCTGTACCTAAGCCACACCCCCAGCCCAGTAAGGAAACTCTTAAGAGTTTTAAGAACTTTTCATTCTTACGGTTAGTGCTTTGTTTTCTAAGGAATCTATTTCAAAGGCAGAATTGTCTGTTTTCTTGTAGAAACCTACTTAGGACTATGATCCGTTTGGAAGTGATGTTTGTCTAACTGTGAGCGGTTAAGGGTTTTCCACAGGGATACCCAAAATACAGCTAAAAATCTTTTAACTTGATGGCTGATCAGTCTGCCTTGATGGACAGTTGACTCATTAGGATTTTGTAGTTGATTAGTGGTGTTCAATTTCTGCATTTTGCTAAATATTTTTCCCTTTTAAAAGAGGGATGGGAAGAAAAATATAAAGTGGAGGGAGTGACAGAATGAGAACAGCTCTTGCCCTGAGCCTGGAGGCCTGGAGTACATAGGTCCTCCACTAGGACTGGCCTTATGTAGGCCTCTTTGGAGGCATTAGGACAAATCCCCCAATGAGGGGAACTCTAATCCTAAACCCAAATTGAACAGGAAAGCCACAGGTGAAATTATCCTTCACTATAGAATCACAGTCTCCCCAAAGTCAATTCAGGGAGATCTCAGGATCAAAACTACTTTTCAATGCTTTCCAATCTAGACGTGCTGAGGGAGAACTGTATCTCAGCTAAGAAAACCCTCCTTACAGGACCAAACTCTCCCTATGTCATTTCCAGGCTCTTTTAGTGGGGCTGAGGTTTGAACTCAGGGCTTCATGCTTGCTAGGCAGGCACTCTGCCACTTAAGCCACACCTCCAGCCCTAGTAGTGTCTAGTAATTGTGCAAAATAGGTTTTGTTATGACATTTTCATACACACATGTAGCATACTTCGATCATATTCTCATGGGGCCACCTTTTTCTTTTTTTTTGAGCAGTAGTGGGGTTTGAACTCAGGGAGTCATGGTCATGGGGCCATCTCTTGTTTACTGCTGTGTGAAATGTCTAGCCTGGTGCCCTGCATGCAGTAGGTACTCAGTACACATCTGTGGAATTGTTTCCAGTTTCCATGACAGGCCTGGCTTATCCTTCTCACAAAGCAGGAAAGATATGGACTTCTGTTAGTTCACTATGTCAGACTAGAGAAAACAGAAAGAAAGTAGACATGACTGACAACCAAGTCTTCACATGATTGCACCTTTAAGCAAGTCTATGTGTAGGTGTAACTTTCCCACAGGTTCAGACTGGAGATGATTTGGGCCTGCATTCTGACAAAGTACCCATCACTTGACTGCTTTGCTTTTTTAGCCTACTCAGCAGGTTCCTCGTGAAGCAAAGCCCACCTTTGTCATTGTCTCCTCGAACCTACTTCTCCAGAGGGTCATGCAATGTTCTTAACGGCTTTAGTGTGGTGTGCTAATCACCAGCCATAGTCTTTTACATTACCTTAAAAATGTAACCGTTTGCAGTGTGGGGCTCCCACCTCAATTTTATATTGTTAATTTTACTCATAACAGATTAAGCATGCCAGAGAAAAAATAAAAATTTAAGAGATAGTAATTGCCTTAAGTTCCATATTATTTTGAATTAAATGCTACCAGATTTAAAAATATATATTTATAATTCTTTTAATATACTTGAGTAAAAAGATTTTTAAAAATTTGCTTTCAGTGCTCAGCATACCCGAAAGGTCTTCTAAAAAGGAAATGCTATCAATTAAACTTTCACAGTCTGTGAATCCACAATGCCTCAAAAAAAAAAAAAAAAACTGAGGAATGTAATTTCTTTAGCATTTTTATATATATTCCCATGAAAAATCTCTTAATTAGCCTAAAACAGTAAACTCTGTGTCATCTCTGTATAAATTTTCCATTCAGAAATTTAAATAGTCAATCTTGTGACCTTTAGTTTGGCAAGCTTTATTTAGGCACAGAGGCATGTTTTGATCAAGGCTTTAAAATGTCCTAAGATGTTTGGTCAAGATATAGCATGGCTGTTCTTTCCAAGTGAAGTCAGTTTTTAAATGTTAGCATAGCAACAGAGGCCTGAATTTTCAGGTGGAATGCATTTTTTTTTTTTTTTTTGGAATGCATTTTAAAAATTACCTAAGAGAGAATGGACAAGAATGACAGCAGACTGCTAGTCTTTTAAAGCTCTTTTATTGACCACTGTTGGACAAATCTAAGGCATGTTCACAAGGCTTTGAAGTTAAGCAAGAACATTCTCCAGACGGTTGCTCTTCCCCTCTTACCCAATGCTGCAAGCCAGTCCTACAGAGTTCATATGCACAGCTCTCAACTCTTCTGAATATACAATGATGTTTCAGGGACCACCATGGAGAATGTTTCAGAATAAGGAGTGAGCTGCACAGACTAAGTCACTAGGACATCACAACTCATGTGGGACACAGGCAGAAGGTGACCAAAGCCATTCATACACGCATGACTCTGGGTTTCCAGTGGAACAAAGAACAGACTGAAAAACGTTTTCTAATCCTTCACATTTGAGAGAAATGGAATGTGTCCAGGATTCAGGATTCATGTTTCTGTATTTACCACTGATTATAGGTCACTAAAAGATTTCTAATTTTTAAATAGCTTCTAATGCAGTTACGGTTTTGTTCTCAGGCCACAGTACAAGATGGCATGCATTACTTTACACAAATGTCAAACACGGAACAAGTGTTAACACAAACACCTCAGGATTGTCTAATTACACAAGTTTCTCTTGTATGGTGGTGAGATAAGAATAGGGAATGAGAGAATGATGGCACCTGGTTCTACACAGCGCCTGTGTGCTCAGCGATGTGCTAGATGGAGACATCCAGGCACTTTTCCACTGAATCATAAAGAAGGCGGAAAGCTGCTAAGAGTATTCTGAGAATAAGTTCCGAATGTGGTGTTGGTATGAATACAAAGCCTTGGTTTTTGGGGTAAAAAAGTCTTGACTGATACTAATAAAAATGGTTTTATAACTGAGTTTCAAAAGTCAGATCACATCTTTAAAAGATGAAAAATGAACACTTTAAATATCTGTAAGGGCAGTAAAATAATGCAATGAAAAATCAAAGCACATGGGGTTTTTCATGAAGGGATTTGAATCGTGTGGTTTATATCAGCCAATAGTTTATATTAACTAACAAATTATTAAAATGTGACTTGCTTAAGCCCATTTTCAAAATGCAGAATCTTTAAGGAACATGTAGAGATATCTTTAGGAATGCTGAATGCCATAAAATATTTGTTTTGTTTTTGGTGGTGGTCCTGAAATTTAAACTAAGGACCTCATGCTTGCCTCCTTGCTTGAGCCACCTTCTCCCCAATTTTTAAAGGTCAGTATCTCTCTTGCGGCTCTATTAGAAAAGATTTTTCAAACACAAAAGGAAAACCCTAGAGTATTTGGCCAGGTAAAGAATTCTTACAACTTAAGAACTGCACTCAAAATACTTCCCAAAAGAAGCCACCTACCTGCAAAGAGCTGCTCTGCAGCAGCCCCTACAATGCGGAATGTGACACATGACCTGATAATCAGACAAGGGAAATCACTCAATATCAACTGCATTAAAGTTTCCACTGATTATCTTTGTGACACACAGGGCAAGAGAGTCTTCAAATGTTTGCTTTTTTATACCAAAGGTAGGACGTCGTCATCATTTCAATTCAGCACACAGGTGAACAATACTTTAGTGAAGAGAGGCTACCTAGAGCAGCAGGAAGGTGGTTCCTGGCATTCACTGGGCTTCCCTGTCCAGGAGGGAAGGTGCAGGCTACTCTTCTGACAGGAGGTCACCACTGCCGCAGATAGGGCAAGTGCTCTGCCCTTTAAGCCACTGCTTAATGCACTGAAAAGGAGGAAACAAAATCAGTCAGTGTCTTCAGCACCACGTGGGTCCTTAATTCTCCTGTGCCACTGGATTTCTCCACAGGCATGGCTAATGTCACCTCCAAGTCTGGCAGGGCCTAGAGCTGCCAATTACTCAGGGACCTTGATGTGTGTCAGGCAAAGGAGTCTGGATGAAGCCCCAGAGGGAGGCCTTGCCCTCCCTCCACACCCTGGCTCCAGTCTCAGCTATTGGTTTCACCTGCTCTGACTTGTGGAGGGTGGCATTTTTGTGGCCCATGGACTCCATCACCCAATTCTTAGCTCATCAACATTCTGCTTGGCCTCAGCTCTGGGTTCTCCAACATTCCACAGCCTGTGTGCTCTGCTCCCTGTTGCACCTGGCTGAGCTGCTGCTACCACATGGCTGGGTGTGCATGGAAAGTTGGAAAGCCCTGGCACAGGACTCATCTCTGAAGGCAGCAGACCATGCAAAAGAGGTTCTATGAGTCTTTTCAACTCCTTCTATTGATGGTACTGGCACAAAAACAGACATGAAGACCAGTGGAACAGAATAGAGGACCCAGATATGAAGCCACACAACTATAAGCAACTTATCTTTGACAAAGGAGCTAAAAATATACGATGGAGAAAATAGCAGCCTCTTCAACAAAAACTGCTGGGAAAACTGGTTAGCAGTCTGCAAAAAACTGACACTAGACCCATGTATATCACCGTATACCAAGATTAACTCAAAATGGATCAAGGATCTTAATATCAGACCCCAAACTCTAAAGTTGATACAAGAAAGAGTAGGAAATACTCTGGACTTAGTAGGTATAGGTAAGAACTTTCTCAATGAAACCCAAGCAGCACAGCAACTAAGAGATAGCATAGATAAATGGGACCTCATAAAACTAAAAAGCTTCTGTTCATCAAAAGAAATGGTCTCTAAACTGAAGAGAACACCCACAGAGTGGGAGAAAATATTGGCCAACTATACATCAGACAAAGGACTGATAACCAGAATATACAGGGAACTTAAAAAACTAAATTCTCCCAAAACTAATGAACCAATAAAGAAATGGGCAAGTGAACTAAACAGAACTTTCTCAAAAGAAGAAATTCAAATGGCCAGAAAACACATGAAAAAATGCTCACCATCTCTAGCAATAAAGGAAATGCAAATTAAAACCACACTAAGATTCCACCTCACCCCTGTTAGAATAGCCATCATCAGCAACACCACCAACAACAGGTGTTGGCGAGGATGCGGGGAAAAAGGAACCTCTTACACTGTTGGTGGGAATGTAGACTAGTACAACCACTCTGGAAAAAAATTTGGAGGCTACTTAAAAAGCTGGACATCGATCTACCATTTGATCCAGCAATACCACTCTTGGGGATATACCCAAAAGACTGTTACTCCAGAGGCACCTGCACATCCATGTTTATTGCGGCACTATTCACAATAGCCAAGTTATGGAAACAGCCAAGATGCCCCAGCACTGACGAATGGATTAAGAAAATGTGGTATCTATACACAATGGAATTTTATGCAGCCATGAAGAAGAACGAAATGTTATCATTCGCTGGTAAATGGATGGAATTGGAGAACATCATTCTGAGTGAGGTTAGCCTGGCTCAAAAAACCAAAAATCTTATGTTCTCCCTCATATGTGGACATTAGATCAAGGGCAAACACAACAAGGGATTGGACTATGAGCACATGATAAAAGCGAGAGCACACAAGGGAGGGGTGAGGATAGGTAAGACACCTAAAAAACTAGCTAGCATTTGTTGCCCTTAACGCAGAGAAACTAAAGCAGATACCTTAAAGCAACTGAGGCCAATAGGAAAAGGGGAACAGGTACTAGAGAAAAGGTTAGATCAAAAAGAATTAACCTAGAAGGTAACACCCACGCACAGGAAATCAATGTGAGTCAATGCCCTGTATAGCTATCCTTATCTCAACCCGCAAAAGCCCTTGTTCCTTCCTATTATTGCTTATACTCTCTCTACAACAAAATTAGAGATAAGGGCAAAATAGTTTCTGCTGGGTATTGAGGGGGGGGGAGAGGGAGGGGGCGGAGTGGGTGGTAAGGGAGGGGGTGGGGGCAGGGGGGAGAAATGAACCAAGCCTTGCATGCACATATGAATAATAAAAGAAAAATGAAAAAAAAAAAACTCCTTCTATTGAGTATTCTATTATTTATCCCTTTTCGAGATTTAATAAACCAATATGGCAGAGACCAGACCTAATCTGTTCTAACTCAGAAGCAGGGGTATAAAATGAAACTCAAAGTACCCAGAACACCAAGACAGTAATACATAAGTCTTGGAAAGTTATTGAACCAGAATCTCCCAGGGTCAGGCACAAGGGCCCCAACTAGGTTTTCTTCTTTAAAATGTTAAACCATTTTCAAACACTACACTAAACTGACAAACTGTTGTCATGTTTATCTATTCAGTTATGTAAGGAATCACTTTTCAAGAAATTAATATTGGGTAAATTTTCTTTCTACCCATGAAATGATGGACAGAAAGGAGTCTCAGAGCTGCAAGTACCCTGGCCCAAGACCAATGACCCCTTTTTTTCCACACCAGTCTTTGCATTGATGTGTGGAGGTTTATAAGAAAATGTTTTTTGGAAACACAAGTACTGATGTGTAGGGGAAAAAAAATTAAAATCACCCATTTTTTTTTTCAAAATATACAGTACATGGTATAAGAGTGCCCAAAGAGAATTCTTACCCCTTTGTGAAACTTGTGCCCACATTTTAGTGCACGCATATTTTTTGATTTGAACACCTCGTGGCATATTTCACAGGAATTTACACCTGGTGCCTGTGGAAACAAACATATCTGAATAGTAAAGATGAAGATATTTTAATGACATGAACCCCTCATGATTCATGATATGAGTGGCCTTCAAATGTTTTTGCCACAGATTGTGGCAAATTATTTTCAATTACAGCTGGACTGAAGAAACAACTTGTTTTTAAATAGCTTCTAAGAAAAAACCCCCATAAAAATACAAAAAGAAAAGTACATTTTTGGACTTCTAATTTTCTCAGAAGAAAAATTGTTTTCTTAAATTTTTTGGTGGGACTGTTGTTTGAACTCAGGGCTTTGCACTTACAAAGCATGCACTCTATTGCTTTAGCCACATCTCCAGTACATTTTTGCTCTGGTTATTCTTGAGATAGGGGTCTTGTGAACTATTTTCCCTAGGCTGGTTTCGAACTGAAATCCTCCTGATCTCAGCTTCCCAAGTAGCTACAATTATAGATGTGAGCCACTGGTGCCCAGCCAGAAAAAAAAGTTTCTTATGGTTAATAAATTCCCAGGTGAAATACTACAAATGCCCATTTATCTCATGCTATGCCTAAAGTGATACCAGCTTAACATTACAATTAATCATTCTTCTAATTACCTAATAGGGATTTAAATCACAACACACCCACACAATGGACTGTCACATAGCCAACTGGAAATTCATAATCCTTAATGCAGAAACTCGGTCACAACAGACCACTGAATAAATGCAGGTGACAGGATAGTACTTATCATACAATTCGGATCTATAAAATTAGAGTATGTATCTACAGTGGTGCCTGGAAAAGAATCTAATATATAATAAATATTAACAGGGTTACCCTGGTTAAGGGGGACTTCATTTTCTTTTTACCATTTTCTGAAGTTTCTATGAACATGGATTACATGTGCAAATCAACACAGAACAAACTGATGGCTCATCCAACAAACACCCACCGTCAGGGATCACATGGGCACAGGACACAGGAGGGATGGAAGGTGCTTTTCTATGTGACAGCAGACCCCAAGTGCCACATAGGCCATCAGGCACAGAGTTCTGCCTGCAGTTCACAGTACCCACTCCAGAGTGCATCATTAACTTCTCCCCTAACTCACTGCTTTAACTTTGAGCCCCTTGAAGGCAGTGAGTCTTGTTTATCTGTGTCTTTAACAGCAGATAAGGTCCCAACAGTCCTGTGCCTGCATGACTGACAATGCAGACCGTCGAAGCGGGGGATTCGGATCAGGGAATTGAGCTCCAGGCAGTGACTAAAGGCTGTGCAGATCCTGAGCTGCTGCACGGGGGTTTACTACCTTTCCCAAGGCACTGCTTGGGCCCAGACAGAGATGGGGGCAGATGCTGTTGTCATCCATGACTCAAGGGGCAAGGGAAAAACGGAGCATCAGCCCTGGGACGTGCAGGGTAAGGCCTCTCCAATTCCCTCTGCAAAGCTCAGAGCCATGTTATGTTGTAAAACCCACACTTAACTTGTTTCCGAGTGTGGAAAAACGGTAACAGTATATTTCTAAGTAAAAAGGAAAATCACAATTTTAAAACATTGAAATATTCCTCCCAAAGGACATAAAAAGTATGACTACTCAGCTTTGGTGAAATTCATGTATACACACAAAGGAGTTCAAAAAAGTAGTATCAATGTGATAATACTGACTAGAGGGTAGAGTTTAAGGTTTGTTTTTGAGATGGGGTCTTGATATATTGTCCAGGTTGGCCTTGAATTTTCAATCCTCCTGCTTCAGCCTCCCAAGTAGCTGGGATTACATATGTGTGCCACGTGTAATCCCAGCTTTAGAGAATGCCCATTTTGTCTATATTTTCTATTGTGAACAAGTACTATTTTTGAAATTTAAAAATACAAAAGCTTTCAATTTAAAAAAACTACCCATGACTACCAAGGAAAGTCCCACTGTGAATATATTTTTTTCTTAAAATTTGGTAAGGTTTCAGCTTGTACATTAATTCTTATCAACACCAACTGTGAGGCAGAAAGCCCTCCCTCCTTCAGATGATTAGCTAGACTGTACCTGGGGTAGGGGTGGTCAGTAGTGCACATGTGGGCACACACACGAATGTGACCGCCCAAGAAAGAATCTTGCCTGGAGGACCACAGAGCATGGGAACCATCGGAAATACCTGGGAGAGATGAAGACTCCAGACGGGCCATGCAGAAATGCCCTCCCTAGGGTGGGGTGGGGGTGAGATCCTCTGTGAGCTGAGACCATGCAGTGTGTGGGAAATCTTCAATGGGTAGTAGAAAGTGAAAAATGTAGTAGGAGTAATAAAAACAAATTTACAAAAAGACTTGATGCTAGCCCAAGTTAACAAACTAGCACTCTTTGTGCAATCTTGCATTGCTGACTCCCTAGTGAGAATGGCATGAGGTCTGCAGCTCTTTTAATGTCATTCACACTCTGGCATCACAGTTGCAGAAGTGAGAAGTGGTGCTCTACACCAGATTCCAATCTAAAGCCTCCTGCCCAAGCCATGGGCCCTCTTTTCAACCACATGTGCATCCCTAGTGGGTCTCAAGCATTGGTTAGTCAGTATGGGAAGATTAGGAATGACATGCTGCATGCTCTGAGCTATATCCACATCTTCAAACAATCGAGCATTTGTGCCTTGATTTCCTTATTATAAAATGTGGACAATTATAAGCTCTTATCAATTCAGATCATAGATGTAATAGAATTTTGTAAAATGTTCTATGTAAATGTAAACAATTCTTATTGCCTAAAAGGAAAATAAATGACTTAATTCAGCATGTCAAATTTAAGACACATTTAGCCCCTCCCAGGGACAAGGCACAGGGCAGCAAGCAGCCTTTCTGGAGCACAGTGCCGACTTGGCCATTGCACAGCAGCACTTAACCGAGTGACAGCATGGACATGTAGATGCTACCTGGGCTCACAGTGGTGTTAAGTGATGTGACCCAGTCTGTGCGATTCCAAAGCCCATGGTTATAAAGAATAAAATTATCCAAAAATTATTTTTCCCAACTACTCAAAATACTACACTCAATATGAGAAATCAACACACTTGACCATGTGCAGCAAAACACTAGCCGGAGAGAGAAGGCCCAGACCCCTGGCACAGTCTGAGCTGTCACTCAGGCAGGGCTGTTCCCTGCTCTGTGCATGAGGCGCTCATCACAGTCACTCAACTGCTGGTCCTAACTGGGCATCTTCAACACAGTGTAATCTGGTTTCTAATTTTAGGATCAAACAAATTAGGTCTAGAAGTGAAGAGAAAGGGGATAAATCATGGATTAAAAATTCTGCTTCTTAGCTCACACCTGTAATCCTAGCTACTTAGGAGGCAGAGATCAGGAGGATGGCAGTTAGAGGCCAGCCCTAGGGAAATGGTTCACAAGATCCTATCTCGAAAATACACAAAACAAGGCAGGCCTAGTGGCTCAAGTGGTAGAGCACCTGCCTCGCAAGTGTGAGGCCCTGAGTTCTAACCCAAGTGCTGCTAAAAAAAACCCCAAAACACCCCAAAACTGCTTCCTCCATATTCTTCATTGGAAAGCAAACTGGCTACAGTTATACATGTAACACTCACAGGGATATCTTCTGTTTTTTGCCCCTTGGTTTTGTATGATGGTCCAATAACCACTGAGGGTGGGCCCTGGGAGGACCTGGTCACAGAAGCAGCAGAACTGGTCTCAGATGTCCTCTTGTCCTTTTCTGGATTTGGCTACAGAGACAATGAGGTGGGTAGAGGTGAAGGAGGTCACAAGAAAGCCAAGTCCAGTTACCTAAAAGCTCCACTGTCTTCTGCCTTGACTAAGTTGCTCTCTATACTGGAGTCTCCCCCTCCCCCCCATTCTCACATTTTATAAATAAATAAGGATGAAGCTAGATATTTTCTTGCATCTGGATGAAATACCTTTTTCTTTTTCTCTTCATCTAGAATATGCTCTGTCACTCTTTCAACAATTTCATCAATACGTAATCCTGAGAGTGAGTTCTTGTTTTTGCTTCGAACTTTTTTGATAAAACCAGCAAGCTCGGTGCTGAAAGGGAAAGCGAGTAATAAAGAACACGACAGTATTTCCACTGCTGAGAAAGAATGTGTGCCAATGTTAATGCCATGGCCCAACCCCAAAATACAAAAAAACAAACACAAAAAGGGTAATATTCAGACCACATGTCAATAGTACAAGTATACTGGAAAAGGAAAACTATTTTAAACCATACTCTGAGAAGTTGTGAAAATTTTACTTTCAGAACTGGGGGTGGAATTCAGGGCTTTGTGCTTGCGAGCCAGGTGCTCTACCACTTCAGCCATGCCTCCTGCCTGCACTATTTTTTAAAGATACTATTTCAAAATAATTCCCAAGTAACATCGTATCTGCTCAGTCCATGTGGGATGCCATCTCTTTTAGAAAATGAACTTCACTTTTAGAGGAGACTGAGGGGGAAGAAGGAAGAAGAGAACCATAGAGAGCGAATGACACTGAGATACATTACATCTGTGTAGGAACAAGACAATGAAGTTCACAGACAACTGCTGAACAATATGGGGTAGGGGAAAGGGTAAGAAAGAATAACAGACAGGGTTAGACTGATTAAAATATAATTACAGGTAAAATACCAAATACCAAAATACCCACTGAACAATGAAGGACAGAAATGTAAATTAGCAGGTCATGTTAAGGGGAGGGTCCTACTGGGAGGAGGAGGGCAAATGAAGAGAGTAAAGGAAGGTGAATATAGTTGATGTATTTTTCTCCCCATGTATGGATATGGAACACTGAAACCTGTAGAAGTCATTTTAAGAAGTGGGTGGGGAAGAGGGAGAATGATGGAGAGGATGAACCAAAACAGGTACATTGTAAGCATACATGGAAATGTCACAATGAAACCCCTATACAACTATCATATACAATAAAAATGTAAAACAAAGTGGACTTCGTACAGTCTAGATACGTCATGCTTTATACAAATCACTGAATGATTAAGTATAGCATTGGTTTGGCCTTGAAATCAATAAAATCTTTCTATCCAAGAAGAAACCTAGTTTTTCAGACTTCTTCCCTTGAAGAAAGTGACCAAAAAGGTTCACAGCCTGACTGTCTCACAAGCGCCATCAAATGGGAATGACATCATTACTCAATATGTGTGCCACTGCCCCAAAGAGCTCAGCTCTCAGCATTTGAACCCGCTTCTGCTTGATTTCTCAAACTCTGTGAAAGTTAATCAAGAGTGCAGACAATTAATTTGTAGGATACTTCTGGTGATTATGACTTGAATATTTTTACAACCAGTATGAAAACTGCTAGTGGGAGAACTTAAGATTCTGTTTCTCAAACTTAAGGTAATATGCCCAGGTGCAGACAAAATACACTTATTTTCTTTTTTTTTTTTTTTTTTGGCAGTACTGGGGTTTGAACTCTGGGCTTCTCACTCCACCAGCCACAATATACTTATTTTCAAATGGGCAGGGCTCCACTGCTATATAAAACATTAATTCTGGCCAACCTTAATGACTCTGTTCTCAAATTTCAAGTGCAAAACCTGTAATTAACATTTTCCAAGAGAAAGAAGTAAGGCAGACACAGGGAAAGGGTCATTCTGCCCGTGTGGATTCCTTTCTACTGAGCTGCCCCAAGATCACCTCTGCCTTCTTGAACAACCTGGACAGCAGAAGTGCCAAGGGAGTAAGAAACACTACTGAAGTGCTAACAATCATACCCAACTGATTCACAACTTAATTGACTCAGGTGTGAGCAGCTCTTCTCCATGCTTGCAAGAATCCTTTATGATGTGTCTACATACCTCATTCACTATCCAATTCAATCTTGTTTTTAATTTCATACCCCTACCAAATCAGAGGTCTTGTCTACAAAGTGTTAAGTTGCTTCTGTCTTCTTTGCTATATGTGATATGTTTACCACACAACTACACATAACTATTATTTTATACATTTACTGATTCCATAGCAAGTAGTGTTGGAAAGTATTACTGACCTCATGAAATTCTTAGTAAGTTATTATGGGTTGTGTATCATTAGTACGTGTTGTTATCAAGGGCTCAATGTTTTCATTAAGAAATTTATTTGAGGTCTGAGAGTGTAGCACAGTGCAAGAGCTCTTGCCTAACATACACAAAGCTCTGGATTCAATTCCCAGCACCATAAAAAAGAAAAAAAACTGAAAATACTTACTCACTTCCATTTTTATGAAAAGAAATGGGGCACCTGTCTTCCTGAGCAAAATAATTACTCAGTCCTTTCCGTATCAATCCCTAACTGGCTATGATTTGATGTGATCAGTAAACCTTAGTTTGATGAAGTACTTAACAGGCACAAACATTTCCTATTTGTACCTGCTGTAACTTGGGAACAGCACTGATAGGTGCTCAATGATACTGTTGAATGGCCTTTTCGGAGACTGGCTTGAATGAGTCACACATCCTGGAGAAGGGGGTTTCTGATCAGGCTCAGGGCTTTGTTCTGCCGGAGCTGCCTGGCCAGCCCTCTTAGGCTCTGACTGCTGAGCAAACTCAGGCTGGCGAGATGGTGACCCTGGTGACAGTGCAGAAGGAGTGTGCTCTGGACAAGCAATGGCAGAGAACAGAGTCAGATCCCTGTGAACTGGTCCACTTTCACTGCTTGCAGAAGTCAGGGACTCTGGATCTTCAAGGCCCACAGACTCAGAGGGCAACTTAGGACGAATCTGTGAAGAAAACACCACAGTAGTTAGATCATTCAAGGTTTGCCTTGAATTAAAAAAAGAAATGTAACTGTACTGAAGTGCACAGCAAACTTGAATACAATAAATTAAAATTTTGTTTTAAAAGAATTACTGATCACAATTTGCTAGCTGTTAGAACAGATGGAGATCTGTGACCTCTAAATAACTCTGTCATTTTCTCTGTAAAATCAGAAAAACTGCGTGAATGAGATGTTCCACCTGCCTACTGGCCCTTCTTCAACATCTACCTACCTGCATATCTCCAGTCTCCACCTACCTGCACCTTCCTATTCACAGTTAAATTTGTGGCTGACTCATCAAAACCAGCTGTTCCAACACTTGCCAAAGCTCCCTCTATCCCACTAAGCCACAGTGACACCCACCAGTGCTGGCTGCCTCCTCTTTCTCAGAAAGTTCCCCTCTGTTCAGTGTCCACTTTGCTCACTCTCGCCAATCAGGCTACAACAGCTTTCCTTTGTACTTCTTCCCCCTGTCTGCGCCCTAAGTATGAATGGCCCTGGTGCTACCTTCTTCCAGGCTACTTCCCATTCTCTTAGGTCCCAGGGGGCTTGGCTCACTGCTGATTAATACCCACTTTTTAAAGTTTCTAGTCTAGAATATCTTCCCAAAATCCATATCTGTACATCGACTTGGGTGACCCCAGAGCAACCCAAACTCACTGTACTCAAAATCATCCCAGATTCCTCACACAGTGTCCCAGTCTCATGAGCAGCACAGTTCTTTCAACTCTGCTTCTAACATCTCTCCCTCCTGTTTCTCTTCCCTCCACGCCCATAGCCACTCCCTCATTCAGACACTGCTGATTGCAGTAAACTAATAATCAGCTAAGTGGGACTCACTCTAGCTCATCATCCTGACTTTTCCAAACTGCCATCCAGCTCATCTCTATAAAGTACCAATCTGATGTTCCCTTACTTGAAATGAAACTTTTTTTTTAGGTACTGGGGTTTGAACTTAGGGCCCTGTGCTTACCAGGCAGGCACTCTACCACCTGAGCCACACCCCCAGCCCTTCAGACCCTTTGCTTGAAACTTAAGACTATTTTTCTAGTGACCTAAATAACTGTTCAAACTGCTTAATACAGCTTAGAGAACAAGGTTTCTTTGGTCCTGGCCCCTAGATACTTCTATAGTCATTCTCTCTACAGCTGCCCTTGTCAGACTGTGCTTCGTTCAGTTGTAAATGGAGTATGTTCCTTTTTTTGAACCTCACAATACGCTGTTTCTTCCATCTGGAGCTCTGACCTCTACACATCACAACTTGCTCCCTTCTTACTCAAAAGCTCACCCTCTACTCCTTCACTTGGTCTGCCCCACTTCTAGACTGCTGTCTCACTGAGAGGAATTCTACCTGGGAATCTTCCTCGGAGGCTAACACCTCTAGACCAGGCTACAATATTCTGCCATGAAAAACCTCAGGAGGCTCTGCTTGTAACTGTAGGTTCAAGGTCTGTCTTTTCCCAAGCCCGCAAACACTGAGGGCCCAGCCCACATCTAATCTTGATCACAAATCAACACCGAGTAAACGGACAATAGAGAAATGAGACACAAAGTAAGCAGTCTTTGGGGCCAAAGCTGCTGGCTTTGTTGAGAGTTGCCAGGATTGTGGGTATGAAATTCTTTTGAGTTATAAAACTACAAAAACTAAAATGATAAGTTAATAGTAAAATAGTCTACTGAGATCCAAAGTTTTTCTCTTCATATCTCTGTAAGAACTTGGAGAAACTGTAAATGAGAAGTGATCTTTAATTCTAAATTAAATCCTATTCCTCACTCAGTCTGATAGAGAGAAAAAAAGTTTGGATCTTGATAGAATATTTTACTTTGTTCAAGGTGGTCCCGCTTTCCACCCTTAAAATGTTTAAGTCCTGGCTGATTAAGAAGCTGGGCATCCACAGTAAGGAGATCTAATATGCAGGACAGAAGGACCATACGGGCAAGGCCCAGGCAGCAGTCCCTGGCCGAACTTTTAGGGGAAGGCAAGATGCAGAGATCATCTCTAGGGAGATGAATAGTCCAGGCAAAGGTCTGGCAATAGCAAGAAGGTGCAAATGAGGTGCTAGGGAAAATAACCTCTGGTTTTAGCAACCAGGAGATTTTAACATCATGCCAAAACATTCTGAAATCCATCTCTAATCAACCCTTCAACTGTCTTTACATTCCTTTAGTCTGATCATCTTTGGTGTAATTCATTTCAGTTCAGTATTTATAAAGCATCTGCTCTGTGTCTAAATCTCAGAAACCTGTACCTCAGGTTATAATTAAGTAATACTAGGGTTAGCCACACTGTAAAACCACAAAATATAATTAATGCTTTGCTTTACTGTGCTATGCATTTTAAAATAAAAAGATAGGTTTGACAATCTCTATTATTCAGAAGATTCAGGACATAGCTTAAATTACAAGTAAAGAACATTGTGTCACCTCAGCAAAGCTCTGCACTTCTCTGGCATAGCAATGCTTGTTTTGTATTTGATAAAGAAACATCTCAATTATAAGATTTTGGTTTTGGGGCTAGGTTGTCTGGCTCAAGTGGTAGAGTACCTTCCTATCAAGTGTGAGGCCCTGAGCTCAAACCTCAGTACCACAAAAAAAAAGATTTTGGTTTTATACCTCCAAGTATCGAGTAATGAGTATAATCCCAGGTTGTAATGGTAGAGGGCCTTATTCAACCACAGGCACCTGCTACTCCTGGACTATTTGGTCAAGTGCAAAAATACATGCATTTGCACATGTACACACGTACAGATGGACTAAGGAATGTGCAGTGGTAGGGACAGGGGAAAACAGTTTATGTCAGTCCTTCACTCACGCACAGCTGTGGAAAACTGATCCCCATCTATTTATGCTAGAATGGCTAAAGCTTAAAAGGTTAATGAATAGCACCAATAATGAAAACACTAAAGCAGTCATCACACTATCCCGTCCCCATTCTCAGAAAACAGTAGTATCGACAAGCTACTTTGGCCAGTTAAGAAAAATGTGTGGCTCATTACTCCCCCACAAAATAGATTTGACAGACTCACTGTGTTACAGGCAGGAAATGAAAGCTCGGAAATCTGCACTTTAGAAAGTTCACTGAGCCGAGAACCATCTTTAACTGCTTTTATGTGGTCGTCAAACTGAGACTGTGGGTAGAAAGGAAAATGTGAAGTTTTTCTAGCAAATCCAATGGAAAACCACAATTTTCAATTAATATTTTTTCTTATTATACATTACAAATGGTCAAGACTTTCTTAATAAACACTGAGATGCAAGGTAGTAAGACAATTATTTCTTATAAGAAGTTCAAATAAGACCTCATTAATCAGAATGCTCTGAAGCTCTATCAAATATAGCTAATCCATCAATCATGAAAAATTTATAGTAATTTCAACAAAAAAACCACACTTTTGCTATTAATATTTTTTTTTAAATGTTTTAAAGATGACACAAGTCTCCTGAGAACTGTAACTACTTTAAAGATTTTGACAGAATTATGAAATGTTTATAGCTTACCTTTGCTTTCTCAATTTCTTTTGTAACATTAGAAATAAACGATTCCCATGATTGTGTCTCAGACTCCATGTCAGGACATGCTGCAGAATCGCTGAAAAAGTGTAAAAATATGAAACTGCTTAATATTTACTTTAAAAATTGAAACAATGAGAAGCATTAAATACAAATGAAAACAGATGAACACAAGAAAATGATCCACTTAACATGACTACACACAAAAAAACAATTATTTTTAAAGAATTAGGTATCTTGTCTAACTTGTCATTGCAGACACTGCAGAAAATCTTAAGGACTGATGTATCAAAACCAAAACAAAACAACCCTAAAACTGGTGAACAGAGAGAAAATATTGCCCTGAATTTTAATTTATTTCCCCCAAATTGATAATTTGACATCTTCATGTTTAATATTAAAGCTGTCTTTGCATTAAAAAAATTTTTTTAAAAGACAGTCTGGAACACTGAAACTGTTCCAATAAAACCTATATCCCCACCTCGCTAAAACTAAAAGGATGGGGCCTGACCTCAGCACTTGATGAACGTGACCTACTGATGATGACAAACATAATACTCTCCAAGAAGACCAACAACACCATCAACCTGTGATTGTGTCAGTTCTCATAGATCTTAAAGAAAAAAACAATGTTTCTTTTCACCCTTTCTCTTTGGCTATCCTGTGGAATAGGCAGAATTAGCATAGCATCCTCAAGAAAGAATTTACATATATACAAAGCTTAATGGAAGGAAGGCCATATATACTGCTGGATAAAGTAAGATATCTTTGTTTCCCAGGTAAGTCAGGACCCACAGCCTATGGGGAGCACTTAATGGGAACTTTTAAACACCACTTGGTCTCAGCCTATAATCAGAATTGATGTATCTGTTTACCATGAATCAGAAAAGATTTCTGGTGAAAAAAAAACTAAATCTTGAAAATAAAGGAAGAGGGCAGGCAGAGTGGTTCAATTAGTAGTGCATCTGCCTAACAAGCATGAAGCCCTGTGTTCAAACTCCAGTCCCAACAAAAAAAAAAAAAAGAAAGAAAGAAAGAAAGAAAATAAAGGAAGAAAGAATTGTACACTAATGCTTTTTCCATAACCCACAGGATCAATCTCTGGTTCAACTTGAGGGCTTGAAATTTGAATCAAAAAGCAAGCACTAGGAAGAATAAACAATATGGGATTAAAAATGCAAAACCAGTGTGCATAACATCATAAAAGAGCCATGTGAAAAGTAATCTTATGTGTGAAAACACCCATAGAGGGCTGGGGCTGTAGCTCAGTGGTAGAGCTCTTGCCTAACGTGTGTGAGGGGCCCTGAGTTCAAATCCCAGTACTGCAAAAACAAAATCCACATGGAGAAGTGCTACATGCCAGGCTGAAGAAAAGCTCCCCCATTCCCAGGTAAACCTTATTCTAAAAACAAAGCAAAACAAACAGAAACAGGTAATGATTATGAGAACTGAAAAAATTTAACACACAAGACTAGCCATTGTAGTAACAGGTCCCAAACCCTGGAGACTGTTACAACAGTTGTTCTAGAAAGCCACTGGGCAAAAAGTTTTGGTTTTTTTTCAATGTTTATTTTTAGTTTTTTTTAAAGTTTTTTTTTTTGTCATATTATTGTTGTACTGGGGTAACATTTTAACATTTACAAAAGTTCTTACAATATATCATAGTTGAATTCACCCTCTTTATCCCCCCACCTCAATTCCTGGAATAGTTTCAAAGGTGTCATTTTTCTAGGACAAAAAGTTTAAGAAGCTTTGAAAATATTATCTTTGTTCCAGAAATATTTTTGCATAGAAATGATTAGTAATGTACATAAAGACTGAACTATAAGGATTTTTAATGCAGTGCAGCTTATGTTGACAAAAATTCACAAACAATTTAACTGTCTCACTTCAGTGATAAATCATGAAGTGTCTGCATGCTGGAATACAGTCCAACTTTTCAGAATCAGGTTGGAAAACTATAGTTATCAATATGAAAAGATTTTTCCTAAATGCTAGTGGGAAAAATGTGCAAATTTTCATTCTTACAAATACTTAATGAAAAGATTTAGAACACAGATGATTTTAAAAATAATTTTTATGTTTTGGTTTTCTACAATTGAACATGTATCAATTGTATAACCATTGAAAATAAAATGGTCCTAATCTTTAAAAAGTGTGTCAAGTCTTCTAACTTCATTTCCTGAAGACATGCTAAAACGGACACATGGGAGACACATACCTGCTCGTTAGCTTGAGGTTCTGAAGATAAGCTTCTGCTTGTGATGCCATGACCTGTAACTTAAACACTTCACTCTCCTTCCAGTTCTCAAGCACGGATAGCTGCCGGTAAATTAAGGATGTTTAGGTATTTTATAAACAAAAACCTAAAAATATTTTAAGTAAACATTCCAGGCCACTTTCCAGATTCTTCTTAAATAAGGTCTGAGGACAGGATCACCAGGACTTGATAATGTCATTTCATCAGATGTAGACAAATGACAACTTTGAGATTTGAGAAGAGAATAACGAAAGCACACTAAAATCATCTACTTTAGTGATCCTTCTTGCAGATAAAAAACTGTGAGCATGGCTTTCTGCACAAGTCCTATACAAGCACAGAGCACGGCCAGTGAGGGTCTGCAGAGTAATGCTGAGGCTGCATACTCTCAATCAAAAAGCCCCAAAGAAGGTGATCCCAGCACTAACAGCAAAAGGCTCTGGAGCCGCTTTCAAAACTTCAGATTCCTTGGCTTCCTCACAAGCCAGCTGGCCATTTCTGTGGCTAGAATCACATTACTGCAGGAAATGTAGAATAGCCCACTTCAATTCAGGTGCCAGTAACCGTGACAGAGCCCCAAAGTGGTAGTAAACATAACTCAACAAGCTCAACAATGCCGATGCTGGAAGACATTGGCTATTTTCCCCTCCTTTCCTTACAAGCAGCATCACAGTCAATATTTAATTGAAAACCCTAATGTTTATAAACTACATAAGTAATTGTTTTCTTATTTTCCAAGAACAATCATAGCCCACATGTACTAATAAAAGTCTTTTTTTTTCTCTCAGCTAGAAAAAATATACACAAATCATGCTTTAGAAACTAAAGAAAATTGGGCTGGTGGAATGGTTCAAATGGTAGAATGCCTACCTAGAAAGTGTGAAAAATCCTGAGTTCAAACCCAGTAACATCACACACACACACACACACACACACACAACACACACACACACACAAAACCAACTACAGAAGCTAAAGGCAGACATCATTGCTTTCCTTTTTGTCTCTGTGGTTTCTCGACTAGTACACCTGCATTGGTACATATTGTTCTAGGGAGAGGGGGAGTGTGGTGTGTTTATTGTGTTTTTTTAGGACAGGGTCTCACTATGTACACCCAGACTAGCCTCAAACTCACAATTCTTCCATGTCTACTTCCTTAGTGCTGGGATTACAAGTGAGAACCACCATGCTCAACTAGTGGTACATCTTTAGTGAGTTATTTTCATTTGTTTCTCAAGGATTGGCAAATATGTCTCATGGTTGGCTATTTCAAGGTAAATTACCTGATTAAAGCTATTCTGTGTATAGTATGGGAAAATGCCTAAATTATAATGTTAAGTAAGGAAAGCATAGTATAAAATTTGGTGTATATTATGTGTATATCTATGTAATACAAGTATAAAAATTAAAAAGGTAAGGAAAAAGAGTGATTACTTTAGGCAGAGATGATGGTGATAGCATATCACTTATGCCCACACTTTTCAGTAATATCATCATGTACTTAAAACACAACAGGGAACAGTGACCTCTGCCACATCTGCCAGTCACCAAGTGTCATGGACTCACCTCGGCAGCCACAGCTCTGTGGTGACTCTCTTCACAATTTTCTTTCCCTTTCTTTACACACTCTTCTATTTTCATTTTCTCATCTGTAAATGTCTTACTGTACATGTGAAAAAACACAAACAAAATCTTCTTGAAAACAAATTCAGCCAGTGAGATTACAAAGGCTTTAGGCCAGGTCACCTTTGACTTCACGCCACCTCTTCTAGAGTGACGTCCTGCCTCCTATTTTACCATTCAGTTTAGGCTCACGTGTGATCCCTTCACTTACAAGATATGAAATCAAAAGTGATCTGGTAGAAATGCTGAGAAACAGGTGAGGGAGCTGCACCAGTTTACTGGTTTTACAAGGGTAGGTGAAGTACAATCTGGCTATATTAACAAACTTCAAATACCCCTCACCTTCTGAGCCAGAAATTCCACTTTGACATATACTATAAGAAAATGATCCAAAGCAAAAAAGTGATCTGCACAAATTGTTCACAGCTGTACTTTCATGGCAGCTGAAAAGGGAAAAGAAACTAAAATAATACTGGTGGCCATAGACCAAGATGGAAATGTGCCTGTGAAACAGTATGAAAGGAGAATAGCAAAAGCTACCACTGATGACTGGTTACCAGCATGCGGGACATTATGAACATTAGTAAACATTAAAAGGAAACTCTCTGCAGGTTCCTAATAAAAGCTATTTAATGAACATATCATTACAGAGCAACAAATTACTATTCGATATTTGAGATTAACATTCTGAGTACTACAAAAGTTGGCTTTTTTTTGTGATACTGGGGATGGAATCTAGGGCCTCATACATGCTAGGCAAGCGCTTCCACCCCTAGCTACTTCCCCAGCACCACCAAAAAGCTTTTCAAATACATTTTTAGTTTCAAGTTAATTCAAGAAAATCAAAGGAGTAACTGACAAGAATTTCAGGATTTTTTTATACTGACTATAGAAAGCAAAAGAAGAAACCAAGTGAAATAAAAATAACAGAAGGTTAAAATATATAAATATTTATAAGTCTTAGTTTTAAAATGAAATTGCAACAAAAACAGAAATATAATTATTTAAAGGACACAGAGAAGCAACAATATACTTAGAAGTCTAGTATGATTGTTTTTGATAGTAAATATATAAAAAATAGATTAAAGCTTAATTTGCCTGATTTCAAGGGTCTGTTCCAGATGTAGTTCACATTCCTTGTCCATGCCATCATTCTGCTGGGTAAACCTATGAAAGCACAGTCACCAAAGTTTAACTTTCAGATTTTTTCCAACAGCATTCTTCACAGTGAATTGCACTCTATCTACACAAGCATTTCTTGAACTTTTTATGTTTCTATTCTTTGTTTCATTTCTAGTATCTTCTAAATAGACAAAGAATTTGGTGGTGTTTTCTTTCTGAGAAATTTTGCTCTTACACTTGGAGGACAGATCAGATTTTCCTTCACTCCAAGTTATGTACCTAGGAATTTACCTCAGGTGGCATCTCCTTCAGTGTAACCAGTAGCTCTCCTTTAAGTGACAGTAGGGTTCTCAGTCAAAATGATAATAGTCTCCTATTCTTTTTAGGGGGGGCACAATTATTGGGGTTTGGGGAGAGGTTTTTTTTTTTTTTTTTTTTGTCTTTTCTTTTTTGGTGCTGGGATCGAACCCAGGGCCTCACGCATGCTAGGCAAGCGCTGTACCACCGAGCTACATCCCAGCCCTGGGGTTTGAACACAGGGTTTCTTCGTGCTTGCGAGGAAGGTGCTGTATTACTTAAGTCATGCCTCCAGCCCTTTTTGCTCTGGTTATAGGCAGGGTCTCATGCTTGCTAGGCAGACGCTCTACCACTTGAGCCACTTCATCAGCTCTTTTTTTGTGGTGAGTATTTTCAAGATAGGGTCTGGTGAAATGTTTGCCCAGGCTGGCCTCAAACCATGACCTTCCTGATCTCTGCCTCCCAAGTAGCTAGGATTTCAGGTGTGAGCCACTGCTGCCGGCTGCTCTGGTTATGTTGAGACATGGGCTCGCTTTGTGCCGAGGACAGCCTGGACTGTTATCCTAATTTATGCTTTCCTCCACTGCTAGGATGACAAGAGTGTGCCACCATACCCAGCTTTTTTCCTTTGAGATAGAATCTTGCAAACTTTTATGCCAGGGCTGGCTTGCCACAATCCTCCTAATCTCAGCCTCCCAAGTAGCTAGGATTATAGATGTGAGCCACTAGTGCCTGGCTAATAGTCTCCTGTTCTTTAAAAAAGGACTTAAAATCTTTAATTTTAAGCAGTGCCTACACCAGGCAGGTTCTGCATCTTTTTTTCATGTTATCCTAAGGCACCTGTTTATAATCATCTCTACTTGCTAAAAAAAACCCCTAAAATACCCTTACATTTCCAGTAAGTTTAACTGCTATTTCATTTCTTTTGTAAAATGCTCCCTCCAGCCTCTATCCTCAATCCTCACAGAATTATTGCCTCTCTCTTGGGTCACTCACAGTGTGGTCTCCATCACTGTCCCAGCTCTATGTCCCAGCCATTTCTTAATGGACAGTAAGCATGATCGACAGCATAAAGACAAAAGCACTTTGTCTTCTCCAAAAGAGACCTAAAAAGTCATGAGGTGCTAAACTACATAAAAAAATTTAGTTTTAAAGCATTTACTGGGAAAGCACAAAAAGAAAAAGGCTTAGACACTTACAGATTAGTGTTCACAGAAAAAGGCAAAGAATATATTAATAAAGTGAAAAGAATAATAATGAAAAGTTTACTCCAAAGCAGAAAGTTAATTTTTATGCAAGTACAGAAAAAGAATTTTTCTTATAACAGCTTCATTTATCTTGTCAGATAGTATGTCTGAGTTAAACACATAAGAATGTATGAAATATTAATATGTCTGCATTTTAGTAACTTTAATTAAGACTGGAATGCTCAACTATTTAGAGCTTTACAGACATTGTTTCTATAAATGTGTTCTACTAATGAAACTACTTTGTGCATAATCAAAATGACAAGTCAAGCCAGGCATGGTGGTACATGCCTATAATCCCAACTACTAAGTAGGCTGAAGTAGGTGAATCTTGAGTTTGAGGCCAGTCTGACAACCCAGTGAGATAAGACCCTATTTCAAACAAAAAGGACATGACACAGAAAGTGGAAATTTCAGAGCAATTTTCTGTTTCTCATTCTTCTAAGGACTGCCTAACAACTGCCCAAAGGTAATGCTTGCCAGACTCCTAGGGAAGGCATCTGGTAATATGGCACAGAGCATGGAAAAAACATAAGTACTCTGGAAAGGTGACTCTGTTAAGGTGGCCTCCAAGGAACCATGCCTTCCATTATTCATGCCTTTGAATCTGAACTAGGTTCTGAGACTTGTTTTAAGCAACAGAACATGACAGAAGTGAAGTTGCAGTAGTTTTGGGCCTGACCCTCAGCAAGTCTAGAAGCTTCCACATTCGTACCTCTGGGAGTCCTTAACCACTACAGAAGTCTGGTTACCATGCTGGAGATTGCATGGAAAGATAAGATAGATAAGTCAGATGGAGAGGCCACAAGGGGAGGGAGAGATCCTGAAACTCTAAAGGAAGAAGCCAAGCCATCCCAGCTGAGCCCAGCCATAGCTGATCCTGAATTCAGCCCAGATTGCAGGACCATGAGCAAATGAAATAGCTGTTAACTTAAATTTGATGAATTTGGATTTTTTTTTTTTAAATGAGACTAGGGTTTGAACTCAGAGCTTTGTGCTTGCAAAGCAGGAGCTCTATGGCTTGAGTCAACCTCCAGTCCATTTTGGTGTAATTATTTTGGAGGTGAGATCTTTCAAACTATTTGCTTGGGCTGACCTAGAACCACAATCCTCCCAATCTCAGCTTTCCAAGGAGCTGAGCCATTAAGAAATGGCTAGGACATAAAGAGCTCATGACTGGGCAGTGATGCAGACCACATTATGAGTGACTGTGAGAGAGGCAGTAATTCCATGAGGATTGAGGATAGAGGCTGGAGGGGGCATTTTACAAAAGAAATGAGTTTGGATGTTTTGTTACACAGCAGTAGACAACAGTGAAGCGGATATAACCATCATTTAAAAAGAGAAGGAGATAGGAATGGATCACAACAGATCTTAAAACATACTTAGTCCCTCTCTCCATTATGCTCGGGATCTGCCAGTATTAGCGAACAGTTCATACTATGAGCCCAAATTTTAATAATTTGAAGATTCAGGATGAAAGTTAACTATAAAACTAATCCTCACAGAATCTCCAGTGCTGGAAAGAACCTTCGATCTACACTCTGCCTCCTCATTTTACCAATAAAGAAGAAGAAGGTCAAAGGTAAGGGTCACAGAGCTGTTCAAATGAGAAAAAAAAATCAAGCCTTTGTAGATCCTCATTCCCAGGCTACTTCCACTTGTATGGGATTTATCTGAAAACGTGGTAAGTTTTACAAAAGTTTTAGGTGAGAGAATTACTCAATGGAAAATTTTTAAAATGAGATTTAAAACATTGCAAATAACTAAATTTTTACTTAATATAGTTTGAAATTAAACAGAAAATGTGAAAACAACAAAAAAGCCCATCATATTAAAAAAATTGTCTTTCAACTGTTACTTACATTTCACTGGCATTCAAAACCTTTTTAATTTTCTTCTTTAGTGCTTTTAGTCTTTCTTGAATTTCTTTTTTCTCTTGTTGCCACTTTTTAATTTCTTTGTCCAGATCTTGGAGGAACCAATCTAATTCTGTCTTTGAGATCTAAAACATTTTAGAAAGAACTAGAATAAATGGCAAGGTTTACTTTTTGGAAAAAAAAAAAAAAAGGGAGCTTGAAAGACTAGAATTGAGACAGAGCCTTTGTTAACACAATGCAAACATGTAGGAGCTGGCACCCTTGGGAGGCTGTGCCACCACAGCTAGCCCTTGGGTACAGAGTCACAACACAAACACAAACTAGCCACTAAGTGCACCTGATTACAGGAAAGCACTCTGTAGAACCACTTCAGTGTGTCCACAAATATTCGCACTTCACTCTTCAGCCTGCATGATTCTAGAAGTAGTCTGCACTGCACATATGTTATAGTTGGCAAGTCCAATAGTTTTTGCTTGCTTTTAAAAATATAAATGTGATGCCTGTGGCTGTTCAGTAGAGGCGTTTAGATAAAAGACCTGTCATAATTTCAGGCAGTTTGACAAAGAGGATGCTAGGTCCCTTTCCTGTGTAAGGTTCAATGCCACTTGACACTCAGCCCTCTGTCAGCTTTCTTATGCAGTTGCTGCCCTTTTTTTTTTTTTTTTTTGCAGTACTGCAGTTTGAACTCTGGCCTCACACTTGCTAGGCAGGTAGGCACTCTACCATCTGAGCCACTCCACCAGTTCTGTTTTGTGTTGGCATTTTCAAGACAGGATATCAAGGACTATTTGCTCAGGCTGGCTTTGAACTGCAATCCTCCTAATCTCTGTCTCCCGAGTAGCTGGGATTACAGACATGAGCCACTGGCACCTGGTCAGTTGCTGCTTTTTGAAACATCTGAACTTAGAAATACTCTAAGAGTTGTAGCAACTTTTTGAACCATCATCCACTCGACGGTAGCAAGGGGTTTGGATAGGACATGTTTGTAAATACCAGTCACTTATAAGTAAACATGTTCTATGCTAGCATTTCTAATAATGAGTTTAAATGTGAACCAGAGCACGGTTTTAAAAAAATAAAAGCAATATGTTAAAATATTCTCCATTTTGAAATCCCAGTATTGTCAATGGAAACTTAATGAAATCCCAACTTCATATTTGCTGTCAGGGGATTTTAGACTTTTACTTCCTGTCAGGTTTCCTGAGCCTGACCTTCTTCCTGCTTAGGCTTAGAATATGCCCAGTTTACTGAGGATAAGGGCTCACTACAGTAACATGGGGGCCTTCTCCCTCAGAAAGGAAGGTACACCCTAAGATAAATCTACACAAACTCCATGTAAACTTATGGCCCACAAGACAGAAGTGATATCAGTGTAAAGAGAATTTCTCCCTCTTCAGCCTTAGGTTTTCAGTACTCCTTGGAGGCAAACTTGCTAACCAGTCAAGTTCCTTTAAGATTTCTGGGCCTTACTGCAGGGCAGTGGTCGCTTGCTTAGATGGCCTTGAAATGCACAGGCTTACTGTTTCTGGGTCGCAGAAGTGCAACAATGCTTCAGTGATGTTCCCCTAAGCCTGGGGACAAGTCTTGCTCACATTTTCCTTGCTAAAATCTTGCTAGATCCTGAATTTAGTATCATTACTGTGACCTCCACGTCCAATCTATTTACAAAACCCTGTATTCTACCTGGTTCAGTTCTACTACCAGAATTGATGTCAAATTGTTTGCCTTGCCACCAACACTCAAGCCAACCTAGTTTCTCACCTATCCTGTTTTTCTACTCTGAGCCAATGATTTCACCTTGGACCCAGCTCTTTGGCAGGGAGGTTATATGCAACCACAAGGTTATGCTGGGGCATGAGAACCTACTTGGCAACAAGCACTGAAAGAAGATCAGGTAATGCAAGACATAAAGAATTATAGCCACATGTGTGCACGTACACACATCACACAGCTCAGCCAATAAAAATATGCCATGAGCTCATCTGCTATTTGTACTAACCACTCTTTAATGACATAGCCACCTCACAATTCATGAAGAAACTACCATAGCTAAGTCCCGTCTTCTCCTAGGTAGACACCAAAGGAACTCAGATTAACAATTTATCCTGATACGAAATAGATACACATTTCACCCAGAAAGTCTAATAACTAACAAGCCTATGATCTGAGGAGCTAAATAACAGCTCCTTTAAAAATCAAGTTACTACGCTCTTGAGTAAGCTGTATGCCAGCAGACCCAAAGCTGGGCCACGTTAAGAAGCACAAGAGCAGCCACATGTGGTGGCACACAACAGAGAGAGGACCAAGAGTGTGAGGCCAGCCTGGCCTCAAGACCCTAGCTCAAACAAAAGCAAAAACAAAAACAAAACAGCACTGGAGACAGAGTCAGAGCTGCTGCCTCTCACAGCCTTTCTCCTTGGTACTGACTGTCCCAGAGCACCGAAATCAACTGTGTATGTGACAGAGCTTTGATGAACTGTACAATGATAGTACCCAGTCAGACCAGGCTGGAAAAGCCTCTGCCAGAAAGAAACAAATTCACTCATCAAATACCCACCTGACACGACTATGTGCCAAAATCTGCCTTGCTACACATACAGGTGGCCACAGGCATTCATTCCTACATGCATTTACTGAAACTGAATTTTCCTTAGGCAATACAATGCCAATAACAAGAGGTTTATTCAAACTTATGCCCCATGTGTCATTTGCTAGGAGGGGTTTTATTTTTGTTCTTTTCATCCTGGGATTGTGACGACAATTACTTTTATAGACCAATTCTTTTTTTCTTGATATACCTAAGTCTCAACAAATGAGTTTCTTAATTATGATCCCACTAAGCTAATGTTCTACTACTTAATACATTATTCCAACTGTTGATCCAGGCTTCTGGAACAAATCCTTTCCTTAACTTAATACATTATTCCAACTGTTGATCCAGGCTTCTGGAACAAATCCTTTCCTTCTTTTTTTTTCCCTTCTGGAATATGTTTTTTATTTTTATTTTTTATTTCCTTTATTCATATGTGCATACAATGATTGGGTCACTACTCCCCCCTTCTCCCTACCCCCTCCCTCTCGCCCCCACCCCCTTACTTCCAAGCAGATACTGTTTTGCCCTTATCTCTTATTTTGTTGGCGAGACAGTATAAACATTAATAAGGAGGACCAGGGGTTTTTGCTAGTTGAGGTAAGGATAGCTGTATAGGGAGAGTCCTAGTTTTGCTTCCATGTACATATGTGTTACTTTCTAAATTGATTCTTCTCGAAATAACCTTTTCTCTAGTTCCTAGTCCCCTTCTCCTATTAGCCTCTGTTGCTTTAAAGTTTTTACATTAGTTCCTTTGCATTGAAGACATCAAATGCTATCTTTTTTTTTTTTTGGGTTACCTACCTATCCTCATACTCTTTCCTTCTTAAATAAATTAATACCTCTTTGTTTTTAAAAAGAAACATAATTTTAAAAAGAAAAATAATTCTACTGTCACACTTAACCAATCTGGCCTCGTTCCTAAATGGTATTAATCCATCAGCTAGTTTCATGTAACTGATGGTCAATCTCAACCAGCAGAAATAAAATCAGTATATTCAAACCAGATACTCTGGAGGACAGATCCAAAATAGCAAATGCTCCATGAGTTTTTCACACTTCCTAAGAGGAAGATGATGATGGTAATAATAGCAGTGGTGAGAATCATGGGAGCCAATACTAACTGAACCTTACTATGTACCAGGCAGCTTTAAGTACAAGTATTTTAAACCCATGAAATGGGAGCAGTTTTTACCCTAATTTTCCAGATAAGCAACTAAAGCACAGAAAAGTTAATTAACATACCCAGGATCAGAACTATCAGAGTAGGATTCAGCCTGGATCTGAGTTCTTCCAGTCTGGCTTCAGAGCTCACACTGGGAACCTCTGATGTGATACTGCCTCTCAGCACAGACAGGAGTTTAACTTGAACTTAGTCACCAAAGAAGAGAGTTTTAACCAGGTAAACTGAATTACAGATAAATGAAAACCCAGATTTACAGACCTTTTCTCAAAAGCAATTTGTAGAGATCCTGCAACACTTTAAGAAGCACTATCACTTGAATACGTCATAAAGAAATCTGAAAGAGGGCACTTTGAGAAAGAATTCTTTGTTTAGCCAACAGTGCAGTTGAGCTGGTTGAGGCTCACAAGCAGTTGTGCTCATGTGCTCCTAATTACGCCACGGGCACCTCAGAAGGGTTTCAGACAGGATTACCGTGCTTTCTTCTGTGTTTCGCCTCAACTTGTCTTCCAGGTCCCTGGTCTCTTCTGAGCTCCTGAGTTTTACCTGCTCATAATTTTCACATGCTTCCTTAAGCTGTTCCTGTAACACGTAGTACTCCTTTTCAATCCGTGAAATCTCCCCCTTAAAGTAAATCATAAAACCATTAAAATGGTTTATAATGTCTGCTTATGATCTTGTTCTGAACTCTTAAAATAAACAAGAGAATAAAAGAGGAAAATTTGTAAGGGAATCGCACACAATCATTCAGGAACTAAAACCTCCTAAATATGTCCAGTGCGCCAGCACTTTTAACAGTATGGTTATTTTATTATTGGAATTCATAATGAAACTTTTCCTTCTGTACCATAGTTAGTTCTGAAAATGTTTTAGGAGAGTTCACTAATAGATTGGAGTTTGATTTGAATGTCACTCTACAATTAACTTCAAGAACTATTTATTAGGTTTTAAAAGCTGCACATATTGTACATAGTTTAGATATGAATAGAACATATTTGTTTTGGTCCTATTTTTAAGTGTTTCAAATGGAAAATTGCTGGCTATTTCAAAAAGAAAAATTAAACTGTGATCAATGAACTGCTTAGTTATCTATCTCTTGGACCAGCTTAAAATCAAAACAAAAACTCAAAAATCGTACTGTAATGTGAAATGATGGCAAGCAATAAACATTACTTTTTGAAAACCTCGCCTACTGCTGGGACTATTGGCAATCACAGATTTGAATCTGACAGAGTATCTGCTGGATGCTGGAAACTTCTCCAGCTATAGAGGACTGCCTTCCCGTGCAGCCAGGCAGTACAAATCCATCTTAGTAGCACAAACCTTGGCCATCTCTGACATCTCCTATACCTCCCCTCAACACCTGAGCACCTTCCCAGTGTAAAATGGCAGGGAACCAAGTCTTTGAAAATCTGTGATTTATCAGGTAACTGTGAATTATGGTCAGAATAAGTGGACATGGTCTGTGCTTCAGAGGGTCCCAGTTTATGTCTGTTCAGAGAGTTTTATACTACCAGTAGAGTTCGTTTAAAAAATAAATTAGATGCTCAACCTTACTAGGATATACAAGGAAGACTTCATGGTTTAAGATCTTAGTTACTTCTATTTTCATTCTCATTTTAGCAAAGGCATCACAATGAATAGCAACACAGTATTATGAATTAATTCCTATATCCCAAATTACCAAATGAGACAGGAGAGAAGTTAAATGCCACCTCTATGTTATTATGTTTAAACTACACCACATTTCTGTGAGAAATCTATTATTTTTGCCTTTACTAGATCAGAAAACTAAGGGGTAGAGATGTGAGGCAACGCCTCAAAGTCGCAGAGGAAAGCAATAGCCCTGGGATTCAAATACAAGTCTCACTGGTTAAGAACTAGCAAATCACCTAGAGTAGAGTCAAAGTCTTGAAACTAAGAAATAATTGAAGAAGGCATTTGTGAGTGCTCCTAATACTGATAAAATATATTTGAGGATGATAAATGTGGACTCATTAAACAGAGCCTACTAAGCTTAGAGCTAAGTACAATGTAAGAACCTGACACCAATTTGTTCAGTATATACTGTATCTATAGGCATTTATTTATGAGCATGAAAAAAACTGACATAATCTAAACATTCAACAATAAGAAATGTTATATAAATTATCATACATTCATACAATGGAATAACAAAAGAATGATGCTATAAGCCCAAGTTTCCTGACTAGTATAAGTTTATTAAAACTCCACAATACGATGGGTGCCAGTAGCTCACACCTGTAATCCTAACTACTCAGGAGGCAGAGATCAGGAGAATCATGGTTCAAAGCCAAGTTGGCCAGATAATTCTTGAGACCCAATCTTGAAAAAACCTATCACACTCACAAAAAAGGGCTGGTGGAGTGGCTCAAGGTGTAGGCCATGAGTTCAAACCCCAGTACTGCAAAAGAAAAAAAAAAACCCACCCAAAAATCCTCCATAAGGAATTAAATGAAGACTGCAGATTTCAACTCATTGTTTAAAATGTATTGCTTAATTATATTAAAGCATATAATCTTTTGTGGCAGCACTGGGATTTGAACTTGGGGCCTCATGCTTGCTAGGCAGGCACTCTACCATTTAAGCCACTCTGTCAGCTAAAATATCATATTAATAAATTTTCTAATTAAATCATTCTTAAAGTGGTGAAGGTCTTTATCTTTCACATCATTCATGTGAATAAGCTTATTTAAAGTTAATATATGATCAGTTAAAACAATAAAACCATTGTACTTTTAAAATAAATAAGAAACCCCTCCATCTTTTCCTTTGCATTCTCTTCTGAAATTTCAACAAAAAAAATAATTTTTTTGTTATATTCTAAAGCTTATTCCATGCAACTTTGAATGTAATTAGCTGGCTCTAAAATGGTTCTAATTCTTCCTTCCCATCATTAATGAAAACTGAATCTGTAAACAGTTTAATACAATTTTGACTCACCTGTTGTACCTCAAAAGGGTTGTACGGCTCAGTATTGACTTCCTGGTGTGTTATGTTCCAAGACACCTATGGGGCAAAACAACACTTTAAGTTATTCCAATTGTTATAGTAAAATAATTTCACAATACAATACCACCTAAAAACATGTCCAACGGCCCACTCTCTTGGGACCCCTCTAGGCTCTAAGAGTTGCATGCTTTGCTACTTCTCCATCTCAATAAACTCAACTGCTTTACTCGCAGAAAACAAAACAAAACGAAAAACATGTCCAAGATTTTTCAAAGTCCCTTAGTATTTTTCTTCAACTTAGACTGTGTTCATGCTTTTTATAAATATTTCTATTTGGAAAAAAATTATGACTTAGAATTAGTATAAATGAAAATGATGCTGGTTCATTACTCTTAACATTTTTTTCAAAGCTTCCTGGAAAACAAAACTTTAATGAGGAGCAATTCAATATGAATTTAATGAATTCACACCCTCTAACAGTAACTATAAAGGAATCGTGATTTATTCTCATACTTGCTAGGAAGTCATCATAATGAGTCGCTCTTGTTTCTTTCCATCTGATTGCCTTAACTCTCATTCCTCCTTTGGTTTGGTAGAAGCTAGACATGCACAGACAATACTTTTGTCTTTTCTATTAATGTACATATGCACATAAGTAGGCACGCATGCATTTTGGTGCTGGGGATGGAACCCAGGCCTCGCACATGCTAGGCAAGCACTGTTACCACTCGAGCTACATGCTCAGCCCCCCCCTTTTTCCTTTCTCTGAGGAGCTGCCAGCACATGCACTTAGTCCTATGTGACAGGCACCCCAAAGTGGGAGATCTCCTATTCTGATCTTACTGTAACTACTGGGTAGGCCAGTGTGATGAGCGTTTCACTGTTAGCATGTACTTCCCTACAAAAGTAGCCACATCTTTCTGTCTCGCTTTTATTAATTATGAAGGTGATGTTTTGGCTCCATCTGCTGACTCCTTCACTTTATTTTTCAATTGGTACAGAATTTGGGCAGGAAAGAAGTATTATTATTTATTGGATCCAACTTTCTTTCTGACAAAATTATCTATCATATCCCACAAAAGGATTCACATTTTTAAAATATTTTCAGGCAAAAGTTTCAGAAATCATTATAAAGCCAATAATTTCTAAGCTTCACCATTAAGACATTTTTCTCCATAAAGCTTACCTGTATGGCAACCACCTGTGTGCGTGGACCATCTGTTACCAGGTTAGTGCTTCCTGGGTGGACTTCACGACTGTTATTAGAGTTCTTGCAGAGCTCATCAGCCTTGCTTGGGGCTGGGTCAGCATCACCTGGGCTGCTCTGTGACTTTACAGATATTCCCAAAGAGTCCTCAAGGATCTGTGTTTTAGAAGCAATCTGGTTACCAGAGTCATTGTCAGCACTGAAATTATGACCCTGAAAACATGCAGCAGCATTTTTATCTGCTCTGTCACTGGCTACAAAAGATGGCACCACTGGTATCGATCTTTGCAGGGGATATTCAGAGGAAATGCTGGGCAAAGGTGTGTAAATGCTGGTGTACTGGGACAAAGTTGGTAACACGTTTATGTATGTTGGTGGTGTCTGAGTGATGTCAAATCCCTGAAAGGGAAGGTATGTACAGTATCCTGTGACCAAGTGGGACTGAGCCCAATATGTTGGTTTCACATCCTCAGGAATTGGTTTGGGAGAATTAGAGGAGACTTGCTTGTGATTTGCATCCTCAGACACTGGCTTGGGAGAATCAGCAGAGATCCCTTTGGGTTTGTTATCCTCAGAAACTGAACCAGAAGAGCTAGCAGATTCCAGTTTCGGTTTCACATCTTCACAAGTTAACCTGGGAGAATCAGCAGACTCAGGTTTGGGTTTCACATCCTCAGAAGCTGGTTCTGAAGACAAGTCAGACAGTGGCTTGGAGCTTGCATCTGGCTGAAATTCCCTGGCAGATGGGTTCAGCGGTAGTTTAACTCGTAAATACTCTCCTGTTCTGGAAATCTCCTCTACTTTAGCTTTTATGTGTTTCTTCTTCCTTTTTTTCTTGAGCCGTAAAGCAACTTTTTTCAATGCAATACAGTTGTCAATCACAACAAAACGAGGACATCCCAGGAGAAAAGATTTTAAACCTCCTGCTTTTTCTAGAATCTGTCGTGTTTCTTCAGGGAAAAATTCATATTCTTCAGAGAACATTTGTTACTCATATCCAAGGGACCATGTTCTTCCAACAACTGAGAGAAGTAACTTGGAAAAAATTTACATTTACATGAGTTACTATAAGAAAGTACATGCTTATTTGAAGAAAAAAGTTTATTATCCCAAAGCAAAAGCATTTTATGTCTCAATAATCCTAAATCCTCTAACAACAAACAATAAGGTTAACTGAAATCAATGATACAATGAACATTTTGTCCATCCCTTAGAAAATAACCCTTTAAAACTTCCTAGAGGAAGTTCTATATAATTACATAATCTATTTAAAAAGCAATGAAAAAGCAAGAAAATGTATTCATGAAAAAAATAGCAAGAATGTCAACAAAAATGCCAAATGAGAACAGGAAATCAAATCTTGAAAAAAAAAAAACCATTTCAATTTGCATATAGTAAATCAATTAAAATTGTTCTGATTAGGAATGTGCAATCATTCAGAGGAACTGAAATTATGCACATCTAATCAATAAGCCAATACAGTTCAAGACCCCAATCCCCAATGGGGAGTCTGACTCCAGTTCTGAACTAGGTTTTGTTCATTCCATTTCTGGGTCTATGTTCTTTCTCATTTTTGCATCAGGCTCAAAGTGGCTGCTTCTTCCAATTAAACTTTGTACTCTGTAACAGTGAACATATAACACACATAAAAGTCACATCAGGCACCACGAAGAAGGCTTTTTCAAGAACAGAAGTCTCCAATGGGGCTTCATTAGCAAATTAATGCTAATAAGGAGAACAATATATTTAGAAAGAAGGTTAAAAACCCCACTTCTCTGAAGCAACTTTTTGTGCAGGTGCTGCTGCAGATAAACACAGGACAATTAAAAATGATTAACCTCTATTCAAAGCTATAGATACCTGACAAAAACTAAATGCCTGGGCTGATGGAGTAGCTCAAGTGTTAGAGCACGTGCCTCGCAAGCTGTTTCTCTTTGTCAGCGCTGCTGTCCTGATATTTAAAAGTCACCCAAAATCTATTTTAATATGTTTAAGGATGAATTTTTTTCTCTTAAACTCTCCAACTGAAACTCCTCTACATACTTGGGAGGCTGAGAATGGGAGGATTGTGGTTCTAGGCAAAACAGTTCACAAATCCTATCCAACCAATAGCTGGGAGAGTGGTACATGACTTTCATCCCAGCTATGTCAGGAAGGATAAAATATCAGGGTCCTGGCTGGCCTGGGCGAAAAGACTCTATCTCCAAAATAAACAGAGTACAAAGGGCTGGAAGTATGGGTCAAGTGTTTGCCTAACAAACATGAAGCCATGAGTTCAAACTTTGGTACCATCTAATCAATTAATCAACCAACAGATCAATCAATTGATCAATCAGTGTTTTCTACCTGGACTAAGATAAGTATATTTGACATGTGAAAACTAAAGAACAGAGGCCACACAGAAAGGAAACCACTCCAGGTAATTTAGCAATGGGATGCCAAGCACAAAGGGATCAGCAACACAGTGACGCTGATGTAGGTGATGACCACCAAGAAGCCAGTCAGTCATGCTCCTGAGGTATACGTGCGTACACACACACACTCTGCTTTTTTCCTACTGCTAAGTAGTAATGAGTTTTTCACACATTTGAGCAGAACAAAATTTAACTCGACAAGGGTCCTTAGCCCAAAAGAAGTGGTTCTGTAACTACATGTGAAGAGAATTGCTGTAGCTGGTATTATTTGAAATGCAACACAAAATGAATTTTAACTCAGAGTTAGACTTTCTAGAATTGAAAGCAGTCTCAGGAAAGTATACTGGATCCAAAATAGCATAAATATGATTCCTTTTAATCCAGCATTTTTCAGGGGCTAGAATCAGTCCATCAACACAACACACATTGGGGCTGGTATGGCTGTGTAACAGATGAAAGAAGCTGAGACTAATGAAAAATGCTAGGTGCATCTGGGATGGTGAGGTTTGTGGCCATGTCAGCTTCTGCTGTTTTGCAAATTTCAAGTACTCTCTCATTGTCTGACCCCTTCAAAGTCTCAGACACTGTTAGAACTAGTAATCCTATATTTAAGAACCAGAGGCAAATGACTGGGCACACTGTATATGAGAAGTGTAAAAAATAATCACACAGCTAATTTTACCAGAGACAGTAACAGCTGCATGTACGCACATCTCCATGTGTACACATGACATTTTCATGAAGTGACAATGAGCGGCTTAGGTAGTCCTGATGGACTTGCAGAATGCCTGCCTGTCACTGTTGGCACAGAGGAAAAGGACAGGGCTGGGAGAGATTTCAAAAGGCACTTACACCCTACCACTCTTGAATATCAGTTCTGCACAGGCCTCTGACTTTTATTTCCGTGTCATTTTCATTTGTGATACACTGTAACCCTACTTGCTATGCTGGAGGGTACACAAGAGGACTATACCTTCTGCTGTTTCTGGAATCAGAAACAGTACTTAACCTTACTTGATTAATAAATACGGGCTAATTAACACTACTAAAATGTTCTGAAAGAAAAGTAAATGCAAAATAATTTGCTTCACCTATCAAATCATAAACTGTTAGAACTAGAAGAGACCAATTCCCTATTTTATGTGAAATACAAAGTCTAGAGAAGGTTAGCTTGCAGCAGTTCCCAGGATTCTTGACACCTTGTCCAGTGCTCCTCTACTTTACACTATGCATAAACAAAAGATTAGTTTCTCTTTTCTTTCATACATTGGCCAATTAAAACAAACCATTCTTAATCCATTACGTGTCAGCTTTTAAAATGCAAAGATTTACGTTTTGAGAGATACCTTTCTGTAACTTCTTGGTTTTCTATTATTAGAAGATATAAATTCTATCTAAAACCAAAAAGAAATTGGTCTTTTTTCGTGAATTTAATTTCTTCTCACATAATGACAATAAATTCTTTAAGTGAAAACTAAATACTTTAGCTTCAATTTTAATTGTTTGAAGCAAATTCTATCATATTTTAAAAAATCATTATAATTTTATAACTGATTCTAAATTGTCATTCCAGTTCCCTGGAAATATTATTTACTCAGGATTGCAATTCTAAGAAAAAAAAAATCATGAAGAAAGATCTAAGATTATATAACTAGACTGAACAGAAATGATACAAGTAAGGAAAATAGAAGAAATGACCATACTGTGGATACAGACAGGACTTCCGGGAGCATAGTTGGCTTTTATATTAATTTTCTTGCCCTCAGTTTCTTTAGGCCTCATGTATTATACTTGTTGCTGTTTCCTATACTTTCCTCAACTATTTCTAGACTGTTTGCCCTCATCACTCAAACTTGACTTATTAAATTTCCCATTCACATTTTCAGTCCTAAGTTACTTAGAACAGTATGGCTGGGCATGACAGTGTACATTTATAATCTCAGCTACTCCTCAGAGATCTGCAGGATTTTGGAGGATTTTGAAGACAGACTGAACAAAAAGTTACCAAGTTCCCATCTTCATAAAACAAAGAGTGTGGTGAAGCATGTCTGTAATTCCAGCTACGTGGGAGGTACAGCCTGGCGCAAAAAACTGTGACACCCTAACTAAAAATAACTAAAGGAAAAATGGGCTAGGGGTGTAGCTCAAGTGGTAGAGTGCCTGTCTAGCAAGCATGAGACATTAAATTCAGGGCCAAAAAAAAACCAAATAAAGAAAATAAAGTATGTTTCTCTTTTGTTATGTCAGTTTTACAAAGTTTCTAAAACAAGACAGTATTTGTATGATTATCCTGGCTGAAAAACTGCAATCCAAGCTAGAGTAACAACCACATCCTTGGTAGGGCTTTATCAACTTCTGTAATTTGTCACTGGAATTCTGAGATGCCAAACCAACCCATCAACATAAGGGCGGTGAGAACAAATAATTAACGTATTCTTTGTCAATGAATGTCTAGAAATCCACGCTAAAAGGCCTACTGCCAAAGCCAAGTGCCAGTGGCTCCTGTAATCCTAGTTACTTGGGAGGCTGACACTGAGAGGACTGCAGTTGGAGGCCAGTCCAGGCAAAAAGTTCACAAGACTCCATTTCAACCAATAGCTGGGCACACTGACACATGCCTGTCATCCCAGCAATAGAGAAGTTAAAATAGGACTGCAGTATAGGCCAGCCTGGGCAAAAAGGGAGACCCTATATCCAAAATATCTAGAGCAAAGAGAATTGGTAGTGTGGCTCAAGCAGTATAGCACCTGCCTAGCAAACCCAGTACTGCCAAGGATAAAAAAAAAAAAAAAAAGACTATGGCTGAGCCGGTAGTCCCAACACTTGTGAGGCCAAAGTAGGACTGTGAGTTTGAGGCTAGCCTGGGCTACACAGGGAAACTGTTTCAAAACAGACAGAAAGGCCTATGGCAGAGAGCTTTGTCAGTCCTACCAGTACACACCAGGGCAGAATTATGAACAGGAAGCATGTGCACTAGCTGCTCAAACCGACAGACCCAGCCATCATCAGGACCCTAAACAAGGCTCTAAAAAGCTTTTCCCAGAGATGGCAAGCCAACAATCCCTTCACTAAATGTGAGCTGCAGACAGCTTGTGACCTGTAAGCGGCAGCCATAGTATAAAGCAGTGACTGCAGGAATGAGAGCCTACTTACTCATACAGAGTTGAGCACTTCTGTTTCGGGTTAATATCCCATAGCTTCTTGTTGCGGACGACGTATTCATTACTGTGCTGGTCATATAGAGCTTCAAATTCTTCCACGTCTTGCCGGAGATGGTCAGGCACTGCAAACGGGCCTGCAGAATCTGAATTGTGTCTGCTGAAAACAAAAACAATCTCGTGAATAGTAAATTTTTGGATGAGATTACTTAATTGAGGGTGAGTTACTGGGTTTAGGGAAGTCAAATAACCTGCCTAAGAATATTTAATTGAAATAAAATGATGAACAAAACAGTAAGCTTGCCTTGTTCATGAATTTATTACTTAATATTTAGAGTAAGCACGGCCAAAAAAAAATCAATCAAAAGAAATTTCAAAAACAAGTACTTTAAATTCCTGAGTGCACATTACGCAGTGCAGCTGGTACAGAGACACTCTGGGTCAGTCTCACGCTGTCACCTGCATTTAAACTGTGGGATCTGCTGGGCATTTTCTTGCTCTTAATTCTGTGAAAACATGCCTCCTAAGAAGCAAATGGTGGCCAAAAGGCAAGGTACAAATTATCGCAATCCCCTCAAGCCAAAAAGGGCATATAACATGCTTAAGCGATAACATGAAAATTTGAGACTTGCTGGAAGGTTGCAGGTCAGTAGCAGATGTTGGACAGATATGGGGGAAATGAATCACGCATTTGCAGCACTATACTGAAATGGATGCATCCTGAGCATTCGTACTTTTCCATCCATGGTGGTCTCCTTGGAACCACATACCGACAGATACCATGAGTTTACTATATTACTTAGCTTTATGCTTTACAAAGTACTGCCAGATAATTCAAAGAAGAAAGATATTATACATGACATTCTGAGTGAGCACTTTTAATTAGTCTTGCTACCAAGAGCACATTTTTCAAATTGCAGATAAAAAATATTACATCAATTGTAACTGATAAGTAGTTTAAAAAGCAAAGATTTTATTATAACTGTTATTCATTTAGGTGTAACTGAGACTGGTAAAATGTACTAATAAAAAGGTAGTTTTTGTTTTGTTTTTAAAAGAGAAAAAGAGTATAAGAGAAGTGTGAAGAAGAGGTGAGAACCCTGGACCAACCAAAGACACATGCCACTGCACCCCTGAGGTCAGTACCTACATCCTGCCACCTTATGCACAAGGGAAAGGTGAGATCATGCTAAAGAAGATGAAGTCAAGGTGAAGGACAAGCCATAAACAGATCCTCAAGGTTGTCTACTAAATCTGTTCTTCCAAAGCCAGAGCTCACAGCTAAAAAGGCCCTGCAAAGAAGAGGGACAAGAAGGTACCTAAAGAGAAAGGAGGAAAACTGATGCTGGCAGGAGAGGAATAACTGCTGAAAAATGGGTATGCTAAAAGAGATGAGGCACAGAAAGCCCAAGGTACCGATTTACCAAAAGAAGTGCATGCATTTTTGATAACTGTACTTCTAGTGACTATATAGTTTGAAATATTTTTAATCGTTTTATAAAAATGCAGAATTTAGTTTTATTTTTCAGAGCTATGTTGTTAGCACACAGAAAACTTCCCTGTTGTTTACTGTAGGAGCATGTCACTAATAAACAGGTCCCCAAAGTTGGATCAGTGTGGGGGAAAACACCTTTCCCTGCTAGCTTTGAGAGACTTCCTCTTGGCTCCCAGGAGGAGGGGATTCCCTGACACTGCCACACAGAGCCACACTGGTGTGAGAAAACTCAAACTCATTTTTATGTCCTCCTCCCCCTGTCCACCACCAACACAGACTTAACTCCCTTAAAACTAGAAACCTGTCCCCTCAAACCGCTTTTGCCAGTATGTCAGGCACTTTGGACTTTACAGTACATCACTGAGATGGTGTTCCTCAAAAGATCAGTGCTTCCTTTTCTAGACTGTGGATCTAAAGATTGATAATTCTGCCATTTTCATTTCATTTCCTGAAAGTCAGAGTCAGCTTGTGAAATGCTATTAAGCAGGCTACACTATGCCTGCTTCCTTACCTAAATAGTAACAGTGCTTATCTCCTAGAGTAGATGAATAGACCAAATGAATTTATATGCTTTTTTGGGAAAAGAGTACACATCACTAATAGAATGTCTCCAAAGCTGGATCAATGTGGGGATAACAGTAACTAAGACTTAATCTCAGTAAAGACTATGGTATGGACTCAGTGCGCACAAAAAATTTATAGGCTGAAACTGAATCACCAATGTGATAGTGTTAGAAGGAGGGACCTTTGGGACGTGATTAGGTCCTAAGGGCAGAGACCTTATGATTGAGATTTGTGCCTTCACAAAAGAGGTTGCAGAGTAATCGAAGGTAGCACTGATGAGCCAAAAAGCAGGTCCTCACCAGAATCCAGTGTGCTATACTTTGATCTGGGACTTCCCAGCCTCCAGAACTAAGGTGTGTGTAAACCACTGCCTTAGCAGCCCAAACAGACTATCACTGGCACCAATTATTTTAACTTAAAATAATTCCTTCTCTTGAACAATCCATGAAGATGTACAAATTTTAGCTACTCTTAGAACTCCTCTAAGAAATGTTTAAAAAAAAAAAAACAATCAACAAAACAAAAACCAGTTTTGGGGTTGTTTATCAACGAAGGACTATGGTATTGAGAGGATATTGCTCTTCCCTGTTTTATTTCTTATGTCTATTTCTTTCTTTAAAATTTAGTTTCACAACCAAATGGCATTGAAAATAATCGACAGTAAGGCCAAACCATAACATCATACATAGCTTCCAAAATATCTTTCTATTATAACAAAAAAATGAGTAATTATCAATAGGACATTCTTGTCACTAAACACTTTTAAAGAATATTTTTTCTAAATAGACATTCTTGTGGGATTTTCCCACAGTACCTTGCACATAGTAAGTTCTCAATATATACTTATAGGATGAATGTCAACATTCTTGTGGCTTTTTAAAATTTGTGTATATTTGGCTGGTGGAGTAACTCAAGTGGCAGAACACCTGCCTAGCAAGCGTGAGACCTTGAGTTCAAACCCCAGTACCACCAAAACTAATAAAGTAAAATTAGTGTATGCTAATTGTAAAAAATAGGTTTCACTGTGACATAGTAATACGTGCATGCAACGTACTTTGATCCTGTCCCCCTCATTACCTTTCTCATTCCACTCCCCAAATGCTGTGATTTTAACAGTTTGAATGAATTTTTAAGGACTACAAACAATGTTAATTCAATCAAGATGGATCACATCAGATTGTTGTAAGGGACGCAAATCTTTAGGAAGAGAAGTTAGGGAAATAAAACACAAGTGTGCAGTACATTAAATTAACTTGAGCTAGTAAGTAAAACCATGAGTAAAATGAAGCAACATTTTAAAAAATTGCTTACTTGTGGTCTTCACCTGAAGTGACAGTCTCATTATTTGGTGTCAGTGATGCTGTTCCAGATCCCACTAACATCGGCTAGTTAAGAAAAACAGAAAAATGACAATGGATATTTTACCTTAAAATTCCTTGAAAGGATAAAATTACCATTGAAATTTATACAAGCACATACGCTGACTGCCAAATTTTCTTGTAAACAGGAACACATAGTAATATAAGTTTTAATAGCCTAAAATAAGTTCCAATTAACATTTAGGACAGTTTCCAATGCTCCAAAATTTTCAAAGGTCACTTAGTTTAAATTCTTCCTTTAGCTAAAGACAAACAGTCAAGGACACAATGAAAGGTTGTATTGGAACTTCCAAGCTGTGTGCATCCTCTTCTAATGCTTGTTCACAATCTGTCATGCTATCTCCTGCTGCCCCAACAAACACACATGCCAGAGCCATGAAGAACTCACAATGACACTTAAAATGGTGTCCTGCTTATCTCATGGGCTTGCAGTGAAGCCTTACATGACAAGAAGGAAAGAACTGTGTTTAAGTAAATTTCAACACACTTGTGTTCCACTTCCCTAACATCCCTTTCTAAAGCTTTTCTTTAGACCTACCGGGATCCATCTTGATTTAATTAATATGGCCACCCAGATAGAGTCCTCATTAAGACAATGTTTTCACTCAGAAATATCTTCAAAATTTCAGTTGCTTTTAAGAATTACGTATATGTAACATGAACCTTAAATTTCCTTGAAATATAGAAGACTGCCAAAATATCTTTGAAGACTAGAAAGCCTTTCTCTACAAAATGTTTCAAAATATTTCAAGAATTTACTGATTTCTAGTTTATGTACCCTATTAATTATTTTGGAGAGTTCAGATAAAAATTAATACAGAAAATACTGCATACCTTTGAATCTTTTGGCTTCTTTTTTTTGCCTTTGTTTTTTACCTTGGTAGAACTAAACTAAAAAATAGGAAGAAAAAAAAAAATCAATGAACACTCAAATAGCAACATTATGTAGCTCAATAAATATAAACCATATTCATTTTCATAAACTAGTCATATATATATATTATAAAGGTTTAACAAAAATAATACTACAGTGTGTCAGCCCAAGTGCTAAGATATACTAGAAAAGGTCTAACATTTTAACCTCATTTTCAACATGGCTTATATTATTTCAAGTTATTAGTCAAAACTTTTAAGTAATTCTGGTTCTATGCTTTCGTAGTATTTTAAGACATTCCTTTCATTAAGCAAACTAGACCTTCTGAATCTGGCCAGACACCAGGGCACAAAGACTGAATGAAGCAGCATTCAGCTCCCTCTGGGGTATGTTAGCTGTGTCTCCACATTTAGCAGGGCAATATATGATAGAGCCATTTCAGGCAGAATTTTATATAAAGCCCTGATCCTGAAAACTGGTAAATAAGCATCTTCTCTTTGAAAACTGCCACCAGGCTGTGTGTCTCACGGTTTGTGTTCCTGGAATGAAGAATTCTACCCTATCATAAAGAATAAAGAAGCAACCACAAGCTGCTAATGAAGACAACTCTGGAGCCTATCTGAACTTAAACTCAGTTAAGAAAACTACTGGGAACAAAGCCCCTTTGCTTTCCTTCCAGAGCAAAACATTACAATATTTCTTGACTCAAGAATTCTTCCTTTCCTTTTTCTAATATTAATATTTATTAACTATGAAACCCTATGGAGATTGTCTCATTTCAGCCTCACAGTTTGCTGATTAGTGCTCCAGTTCCAAGAGCAAAACTGGCAGTATCTTCCTAATGAAACACAGTACAGCTTATCCAAAATCCTCCCTATTTGGTTGTGGAATGCTACCTGTGATGAAAATAAACACTGACCTGGCTCCTTCTCTGGCTAATACAAATTAGAAACTAAGATTTAAAGTAGTCAAGTAGCTTACCAGTGCTTCACCACTGTCTTGTTTCCTTAATACAGTACAGCGGCTGTCTGTAGGAAGAAACAACAGGTTCTGTGAAGAAACTAAGTATGATTCCATACTATATACTAAAGCCTTAAACTACCCTTGAGACAACCAGCACAGGCCACATTCTATTCCTTATTTGGCTCTGACACCAAACCAAGGCCAAAATGACTGACTAAATGAGAAACCAACTGCACAGAACCACACAACTCTAACCTGTCAACATAATTTGTGTCCCTTCCATAGTCACCAGCCATTGTAGGAGGCGGGAATTCAGAGATACATAAGAGAGTCCCGGGCATCAATGAGCTGTTGTTTTACTGCCAAAAGAGACAAACACTACAACACAGTGCTACAAGTGACACAGTGAAATAAAATAACAAAGGTGATAGAGTAAAGTCTTCAGGGAAGAGGCCCAAGGAGGGGGCACAGTCAGACTTGAAATGAACAGGGAAAGGGGAGGATGTGTGAGTGTAGGGCATGAGCAATGACAGGAAGAAGGAAAGCACAAGGTGGGTCTGGGCACATTCAGAAATGAGGTGTTTGTTCAGAGGGTAGACAGTGAGAATGATGGAGTTCAGACAAATGGGAATGTAGTATATAGGCAAAGCTAAGCAAAGATTTCGGGAACAGAATAGTCCTAGGATCAGACAGGTGCTCTAGAAGAGACATGAGTGGCAACATGAGAGGAAAACTACAGGGACGCAGTGTGGAGGCTACTGTAACTGTAAGATTATGCAAAGATAACTAAGGTCATAGGCAAGGGAAGTGGGATGGACAGAAAAGGACAGATCAAAGAAAAATCCAATAAGGATTGGTGACAAAATAGCTATAGCAGTGACAGGGAAAAGAAAGAGTCCAGACTAATTTCAGGATTTCCTACTTAAGAATTAGATATCAATAATGTTTTAAGCAAGATAAATTTAGGACTCCTGTAATCCCTCCTTGGGAGGCATAGACCGGAAGGATCGAAGTTTAAGGCCAACCTGAGTAAAAGGTTACTGAGACTCTGTCTTAATCAATAAGCCAGGCCTGGTGGCACATAACTGTGATTGATCTCAACTATAAGGGAGACCACAGGTAAGAGGATCATGGTCTGAAGCCAGCTCCTAACCCCTCCCCATGAAACCCTTTGAAAAATAACAAAGAAGGCCAGGTGCAATGGCTAACACTTTTAATCCCAGCTACTCCAGAGGGCACAGAGATCAGGAGGATCATGGCTTGAGGCCAACGGGGCAAAAAATTAGCAAGGCCTCATCTCAACCAATAAACTGGCACTGATATGCACACCTGTCATGACAGCATTTTATTACCAACAGCAACAAACTAATGGTGATGAATTCAGGCTGTAAAGTAATATGTTACCTCAAGTCAGACAGTATCTTAGAAAGATATTGTATGTGCACGTGTGTGCTTTCCTAAGAGTCTCAACCAAAGCAACCTTTCAGTTCCTTATACTGTATTTGAATTTTTTCCAAATGCAGTGTTTTGACAGTATTGTACCAGGCCAAAACTTTTAATGCACCCTTTAAAACAAATAGCATGAAATTTGAAAGTCTAACTTCTAACACTATATAAAAATGTAGACTTCTGCCGCTAAGGAAAAGCTGAGGGGATGGGGAGATACATGTAGAATTAAGGAAACTAAAAAACTTCATTTTAAGTGAAGTGAAGGTCCAAGAGAAACTAAGGAATAAACTGCTAGTTGGCCTATTCTGCCAAGCTTGACTCCAGCCATTACCCAAACAGGCCTCACAATTTCCTTCCATGCCACTTCTTGAAGCCCAACATGCATCTGTCCAGTTCCACTTCCACATGTACAGTACCCCTCTAACTGTCCTGTTTCACAGCCTTCCTTTCACTAGGAGAACCAAAGTGCTGTGCTGGGTGCTTCCTTTGAAGCCCCCAGCACTTTTCCCTCATCTTCTTCCTCAGAAAGTCACTGATGCCAATCACAAACCCAGTTGTACCATAATAATTTTCATTATTTTCTTCATTAAGTATTTAAGCAAACTAGGTCCTTCACAGAATTTCGTCCATAAGAAAAACATAACAGCTATAAATGAGAACTTAGTTCGCATACCCATTATATCAAAGAATTCGTCTAAAGCAATATGCAATGCGGGGAACTTGTCTCTGTGTTCTTCTAGAAGCCATATCAAACAACGTGCTTCCTTTAATGATGTTGGCTCACAGAAGTAATCAAGCTGCTTTCCTTCTATGGAGCCTAGTTTATGACTGTATTTCTCATTCCAGAGAAAAGTCAGGATGCTAAAATCAAGTTCCTTAAGAGATGCTCCGTATCGAGAAAAAAAAGGTCCTGTTGCATCTAAACCTGTGATAGAAACAGAACCCAAATCACAAGAAGGGAAGCATTATTTAGTTTAGTGAAATCACAAGAAATTCCCTATCACTCAGAGTGGTTCCATTTACAGTTGCTTTTATTTTCAGTGAAAACGTTTACATACTTGAGAACCGATATGTATCTTAGAAACACCATTTACTACTGATATACTAATTACAATAATTCTTATGGCATCAGTTGAGTAAAGTGGGCCAAAGGCGTCTATCATTATATTGTTTTATTATACTTAGGAGATGACAGTGACATTAAATTCCTCTAAAAACATAATTTTCACTAATTAATGACTTTCGTTGTAATTGATAAACTAGCAAGATTTTACTGTGCTTTTCTACATGTATGCCGTACCAACAAAACATCAATAGTAAGCAAAATCTTCCCAAATGCTTTTAAAAGAATGGATAAACCCCTCCTCCAACACCCCCAAGAACTGCTTCTTATCCGCCAAAATATCATGGTTTTTCACGCTCCTCTACAAAAGTCATGGTAATCGCTACTTCCACTTTTATTCTTCATTTTCCAAATCAGAACTGGCTGCAATCTCATGCACTCCCACTGAAAGGACAGTGAAACCTTGCTCCGTATTTATACAGCCACCAAAAAGCAAAAAGGAAATCTGTCCAACTTCCCCATCATGCCTCTAACACAGTGCTGTCACCTCTTGCATGGATTTGAGGTTCTCAAGTCAGCAAATGAAGCATCACAACTGCCTTGGACTGCTGATTCTTCCAGATGAAACAGTTAGCTTGCAGAAATCATGTTGCATGAGTAATCAGCATCTTTAAACACCAAAATCAGGTACCATATACAATACTCATACAACTAAAGATTTTTTAAGGGAATCTCCAACAAGAAACATACTCACAGTCCCTCTGCAGTCTCACATCAGAGCACATGCCCTGAGGGAATGCAGGCAGACCACACTACTATTAAAATGTTGATTTTCTCTCACTTGTGCTCTACTATGTCTCTGTCTCTTCCTGTCTTTTACTGAATATATAAATTGGATTTTCTTATGCTAAACATATACAATGTAATTCCACCATACAGACTTTTTGTAAGAAGGAGGTAAGGTTCCAAGAAATGGAAATTACTTGCTTTTATTAAATATATGAAAATTTTACATCAGGGCTGGAATAACAGCTTTACTAATTAACATGCTTGCACTCATTTGACAACTTTAAATAGAAATTGCAACTTTAAATAGTATGCATACATTCCTATCAAAATGCTTTAAACTTCAGAACATGGGTTACATAAAAAGACATATTCACATTTTCCTGCCTGTGAGTTGCAAGGCTCAAACACTGCATTTACCTGAAAAGAGTAACAGCTGTAACTCTTGTCCGTGTATCTTAAGCCAGACAAGCCTAGTTCTCCAATCCAAAGGAGATTAAAGTAAGCAGTAACTTCTGATTCACTTATCTGATAGAAACTAGTGACAATCTTATCACGGAAGAGTAATTTTCTGGGACCAGAAAGCCATGGAGACCTACATTCAAACTAGAGGTATTTAGCTCTCTAACTATTCCAGGCTTGCTTCTGTTTTACTTTGTCTCTACAATAGAAATTGACCAATATCTTCTTTAGAATCTTGTAATTCTGCAGCCACATGTCTCCAAAAACTCATTCAGGGCTGAGAGTAGTGGCATGAGCCTGTAATCCCAGCTGCTTTGGAGGTAGAGATCAGGAGGATTATGGTTTGAGAACAACCCCAGCAAAAAAGTCAGTGAGACCCTATCTCGAGCAATTAGCCGGATATAGTGGTATACTCCCAGCAACAGGGGAGGTATAGTTAGGAGAATCGCAGTCTGAGGCCAGTCCCTGGCAAAAATACAAGGCCCTGCCTGAAAAACAATTACAGTAAAAAAAAAAAAAAAAGGGGGTTAGGAGCATGGTTCAAGTGGTAGAGTGCCTGGCCAGCAAGCAAAGGTTCTGATTTCAAACCTCAGTCCTGCCAAAAAAAGAAAAAGTATATGGGAACCTATCTCTGAAATAACCTAAAAATTACGTGTGTGAGGGGATGGTATTTACAACCACACAAATGTGTAGCTGTGGCCTAAAAAGTCAAATGCTAAGACAGGAAAATAAAAAGGATTCAGAGGCCTACCCTCAACCTTCCTCTGGAATATAAAAGGACATACCAAAGCTATTAAGTTTCTGGATCCAGATGGCTAATTTGGGCTCCACTTCTTTAAGCTCACTCAAAACATGAAGAAATATTCTTGTCTTTACTCTATTCTTTTCTTGAATCAAATGACAGATAACATAGTCGACTGCTTCACTGAGAAAATTTTTGCTAGAAAAACATGTCGTATAGTCTTCTGTGCTCAGAACTTTCCAAGAAAGCAGTTCTTTGAGAAGCTTGGAAGTATTCAATATACCAGATTTAATCTTGTCAGCATGCTGCTTTATGCACTGCAGAATTCTGTCATCAAGGAACTGACAGCTCTGAACACTGTCTACAGTTTCTAAAGATAAGTAAAAAAGGTTAGTAAAGAGATAAATAGGACTAATTTGCAATAATACAAACTTAGAAAGAAATAATGCAATATTATATACTAAACTGTGACTCAGAGTTAATAATTCTTTATGTTGTTTTACATAAACTTAGAAAATTTTAAACTAGGAATATAAGTATTTAACAATACCTCTGAAAAGACAAGAAAGTTCACTTTAGACTAAACATAAAAAGTGAGTACCTTATATCCTTCATTCTGTATCATTCAAGTAATAGCACAGAAAATCTTGCTTCATCTAAAATAAGGTTTCTTCCCTCAATAATCCTAACCCAGCCTCATCAAGTTAATTTAAATTCAGTAAATAGGTTCAGTCCTTAAGAATGCAAAGTTAAAATTCACTGAAAACTTTTTACTAAGAAAGAAAATTTTGATTGATTTGTGAAACATTACAGAATACTAAATGAAAGATGAAGACAACAAATAGAAAATATCATTTTGGGAACAGATTCACAACAGCAGAAAATAGGGAACACTTAATTCAACTCAAAACTGAAGTAAACATACTGGTCAAGATGTACACAAGAATAGTAAAATTGCCTATGAAACCTTCCCGCATCAATCAGGGAATGAACAGAAGATGAGCATAACAGAGAAGGCTGGGTGAGGTAATCTCTAGGAATCTTTTATGAAGTGCCTCTTTATCTGAACTCAACATTACTTCAGATAATTAGTAGCTAACTGACATTTCAATGTGTTGGAAGTTAAATCCACATAACAGAATTTATAGTGCACTGTCAAACATACACTATGAAAGTCAGATATTATGTCCACTTTCACTTTGAAGGAGAAATGAACAGTTTGCCAGTGTTGGCAGCAGGGCATGCGAATTCCTGCACACCTTGTAAAATGAAAGCTCTTCACACCAACCTGCTTGCCATCTCAGAGCAACAGAAGACAGTACACTAAGATGCTAACTGAAACCTGTATTTTAGTGATATTAAAATACTAACTGAAATCTACATTTCAACTCAATAATGATTCACATGATGCCTTTTTTATAAGATGAATATTCAAATGTATACATTTAAACAAGTGTACACCATTCTTATCATGTGTTGAACTTCTGCATACCTTTCTGATCTTCATTTTTAGGTGGATTACTTTCTCTTAAATCCTCTTCCATTCTTTCTTGTGCTAATTTTTTTGCCTCTTGTTTTTGGAGCTTTCTCTTCAATTTTTTGTCTTCTTTCAGTCTTAGCTTCTCTAGGCTGATAAACATTTACCATTAGTGATAACTTGCTTGTTGTAAGTGTAACACACTTTGCCTATTGTGGAAACCATTCTCCAAATAATAGCTCCTTTTCCTTTTTAGTTAGAACCTGACCTATATCTTCTGTTCAAAATAAAAACTTACTGATATGTACCCTTAATTTAGTCAATATAAAGGTACTTGGTTCATGTAAACAAGAACCTCAATGATTAAGTGTCTCTAAGAATGCAATGTACAGATTGTATAGATGCTATTCCATATACATATATAAATTACTGTACAGGGTAAGTAAGAACAGAACAAATTGCTCTGTAAGGTAGTATATGTAAACTCCTATTTCAAAGAAAAATCCCACGGTAAAATATTTTCACATCCTAATAATAACCCACATATCAGAATTTGGTTGGTGTAGTTACAGTGAATTCTTTCCAACAAATAATTCTGTTCATCTTTTCTTTTGGTTTTTCTTGGTCACAAATGATACAAAAAGAAAAGAAAAAGAAGAAGCACTTTTCAGAATGAAAACAAGAAGCAGGACCAAAAAGAAAAGAAAAAAGGATTGGAATTATTTGATCTGAACAAAAAGATACAGAGAGGTGAATAATTTAGACAGTACATTGAATATTTCAAGGTAAGAAATAACCATTGGTTGAAAATGTTTGCTGAAGAGAGATAAAAAGGAAAAATGCTTTGCAATTAAAAGTTTAAACAACTGAGAGCTAAATATGCTTTTACCTAAATGCCAAATAGGTTAATTAAACATATAATCTCCCAACATGAAATGTCATAAATTTATAAATTCAATGACTATATAATGATTCTTATTCATTTTAAGTATTTACCATTCTAAGCTAGTGCTCTTTAAGTTTCAAATAGCCATAAAAATCATTTAAATACTTATTTGGATATATGTGCAGACAGCCAATTTAAAAAACAGTGTAATTTAGAAATCTGCATTTAACAAAATTATATTCTAAGAGATATCATAAAACTACTGATTGTTAAAAATCTTACCTAGAACATTTCTGTTTCAGAATAGGTCTTGGAGGAACCTTTTCTTTTATGACCTTGTGTTCAAACTTTAAATAAAACAAAGACACCAAAATTTGTCTCATACTCCCAAGACATAAAGCACAAAACTACAAATAACAAGTATTTCAGAAACACACAGTGTTCAATTTGATAGAGAACAGCAGTGATGCTCTGACCCAGACAAAAGCCCAGAAAGCTTTAACAAAACAATATACTGAAAGAGGAATGAGAAAGTAGACACACTTTAGGAAGAAGTTTTTTAAAAGTTAAGAGTAAGCAGAAGATCCAATAAACTATAAATTTTATTACAACTACCCACTCCAGTCATCCCCAGGTAGAGGTTAAAGGTAATCTTACAAGATACTCCCCACCCTTACATGCCCACACCCACTCCAATCCCTAACACTTTGAGGGGGATTAAGAAAACAAAATCATCAAAAGAGTAAAAACAGTAAAACTAAAATGTAAAAAGCTGCTTTCTCTCATTAGAATATAAAATGTAAAAAGCTTCACTGCAATGCATATCCTAATAATTCCTGTATTTTCTTAAATGTCTTAACATGTTTTTTCTGAAAAAGACAAGATTCAAATCACACAACCTACAAACTTAAATTATGTTTTAAAAGATAAGCGTTTTGGTTATCAGCTTAATAAAGCATCTCCTTTATTAGATACTTACTTCACATTTAACTTGACCACCACTGCTAAAGATGACAATCTTAGAAATTATTCCTTCACAGTCAGGGGTAAGACAAATTCCTTGTAGAAAATCCTATTTAATTTTAAAAAGAAAGAATGTTATGTCTACAGCAGATAAATCTATATATGCAAACCATCTTAACCACCAAGAATAGTCAAAATATAGCATAAAACCTCCCTTCAGGGAAGCATTTCTTTTTGAAGTCCCTACTTCCTACTCCTGCCCTGTGACTTTCAGAGGTCCCAAAGGAAGACTATGCTTTCGGGTGTGGGTTGACTTGCTTGGTCAAGAGGCTCCAGGACATACAGCATGTCTCAGCAAAAGCTTTAAGAAACACTTCATGGATTGGTCATTGCTCTTTTTCCTCTGAAACAGGAACATGTTCCAGAAAAGGGTCTTTGATTCAGAATCAAAGACTATGGCCACATAGAACAGTGATGTCACAGGTTAGCCTTGGCCAATACCTGAAAACTTCAGGACAAGTAATGTAACCAAGAAACGAACCTGCCATTGTAAGTTAGAAGACGTTTGGATTGAATATTACTTCAGCCTCTTAATGAAAGCTGACTAATTTACAGAGGGTATTTAGAACCAAAAGAATGGTGAAGACCATGAAGACAGAGTAGATAGCTAGAGAAACTCAATTTAAGAGAGATACAGCAGACCATAACAATGGTTTTTGAATGTAACATTCAGTATCTAGTGAACTATATGAAGTTTATTTCTTCCAAACTTGAATAATTCCTACTGCTAAGATACTTAATCCAATCACCTTATTTTTTCCTCAGTAAGAATAAGTGGTCTACATAAGCCCACTGAGTGTAGAAAAAGGTTTCCTTTTAAATTCATAGCTTTTACAGAAGAGAAATAAATTTTATGTTAATACAATTGTAAAATTATGCCTTCTTTCAAAGTACTCTTGATAAGAAAATCCCCATGAGAAATGACAATATAAAATTTAAGTTGATTTCTTAGATCAAATTAGCATCTCAAATTTTGATAGAAAAGAAAAATACTGAGACCTTCATTCTATATCAGTGCTTTCTAGTGATTAAAATATCTCTGAACCTCTAAATTGTCAGTGCATTAATTTAAGACTTGTACTTTTAATCATGTATTTAAATCTTATTTTTTGATCTCAACAATCACAATACAAGATAGTTAAGCAATTTATTAATGCCTCTACAGTTGCTGATTTTATAAAAAGCAACATAAAATTAAAAAAAAAATAAAAACACTCCAGCCAGGTGTGGTAGCATGTGCCTGTAATCAATTCCATCTACACAGAAAGCATAGGTAAGAGGATTCTGGTCTGAGGCTTGTCTAGGACAAAAACACAAGATCCTATCTAAAGAATAATTAAAGTGAAAAAAGGGACTGGGGGCATGGCTCAAGTTCTCGAGCACCTACCTAGCAAGCTTGAGACCCTGAGTTCAAACTTCAGTACCACCAAAAAACCCCACTATATTTTCCACTCTGTAATTAAAATTTTAATTTTAAACTTTCTAACTACATCAAGAATGCTCATGAAAGAATTTATATTCACATAAGACTTCTTCCAAACATTTTTCAGAGAAAAAACTAAAATAAAGTAAGCATTGTAAAAAATCTAGACAATCTTATTATGTCTTACCTTGTCAATTTTATCATTAAATGTTGTTGTTTTTAACTTCTTCCAGCAGTTCATGTGAAATTCTACTTTACAATACTGGCAACAGCTGATCCGTATAAAACCCTGGGTTTTCAAAACACATTGAAATTCACATTTTAAAGATGTCTATGCCACACATTCACTCATAGTATACATACTGAAGTAGAGTAGTTGCATTCACTGGGTAAACATAATAATTTCTTCTTGTGTGGGAATATAATACTACTGTACCCCAAAATGCCTGAATGACATCTTCATTTCCACAGTGGACAGCTGCATTATCCTTTACAATATATCACATATTTTATAAACATTATTTCATCTGATCTACTAGAAACATTATTTCTACTTGATCTGGGTAGAATAAACCAGTAACTTAATCATTCAATCAAGTGCCAGATTTTAGTTTCAAGTTAGGTCTTTAGGGGGTAATTCAGTGACTGCAATGGTCTCTAGATTCTTGAACTCAAATTTGACAAGACATTAAAAATGCAACAAATTAGAGGTAACAATCTCATTTTGTTTCCTGTGTTCCTAAGGATGAAGCACTTACATGAAACAGTAACTTGAGGAGGAAAGGGAATTAACTAGCTTGCCTTTTCAGGTCACCACCCCAGCCTACAATATTTATGTCTGTGGTTCTGGACTTGCATGTGAGGTGATGAGACCTGAAGAAATCCAGGGGAAGGAGCAGGCAGAGGAAAGAAAACCTCTAGCAAGCCAGAGAACACAGATACCTCCAACCACAGAACTTAATGCTGAGTACATTTCAAGGCACACCTATGCATGTTACTGTTCCACTGCGCATTCATTATTTACCTTAAAATCTGGATCAGTTATATATATCTGAATCTTGGAGTATCCACGGCACTTCTGATAGCAGCAAATGGCATCTGGCACTGGGGGGAATCTGCATTCTTCAACAAATTTCTCTAACAGCATCTAAAATAAATTAAACAAAATGACACATGAAAGTCTCAATAAAAATGCCTGTGATTTCAATGACCCTTGCCATCAATGGAATGATACATAGGAATGACTAGATCTTTTTAAGAACAAACTGTACAACTCTTCAATTTTTCTTTTATCATTCTTTTTGTTTTTGGTGGTACTGAGGTCTGAACTCAGGGCCCCTGGCTTGCTAGGCAGGCACTCTACAACTTAAGCCATACTTCAGCCCTAAAGATTTTCCTTTATAAAGAAGACTGATACAGAGATGTATCAAGAGAACTAAAAAAATATACATGCTTTTAGAATTTCAGAAGCAGAATTAAAATCTTGTCCTGTTATAATCACTAAACTTCATTTTGTAATTTACAGCTCTTAGAAGTCTCCGTTAAGGATTAAGAGGGACTCAAATAAGAGAATAATCCTCAGGTCAGCCACGAGGACATTACTATTCTCTTTTTCATTGTCACTTCATCAAGAATCCTGCGCTGCTGGCACAGTGGCTAAAGTGGTAGAGTGCCAGCCAAGCAAAGCGTGTGATCCTGCATTCAAACCCCAGTACTACCAAAAAAAAAAGAATCCTGACACTCCATTCATGTACCTCCTTGAATCTCTGCCATCCATGATTGTTTATCCCCTGGAGAATGATCCAATGCTACTAATCCCCTGAGACTTTCATGCCATGCTTCCTGTATTGGCCTTTTGTTATTAATAACTCCTATGCCTCCATTCCAGTCTGGTATGAGAGAGGAAAATCCAATGATCCCTGGCTTTATTCCTCTTTGGAAGCTTTGTTGAGATATAATTAACATACCACACAATTCAGGCAAGAACACAGTTCAGTGGCTGTCTTTATATGTAGATTTGCCTATTCTGGAAATTTCATACACAGAATCATACAATATATAGATTTTTGTGTCTGTTTATTTATTTACTTATTTTTACTTAGCATATTTTTCAAGGTTCATTCATGTGTGGTAAATACCAGTACTTTTTTATTTTCTTGCAGTCCTGCACTTGCTATCTCTACCACTTGAACCACATTCCCAGTCCTCTTGCTGTTTTGTTTTTCAGAAAGGAACTCATACTTTTCCCCTCGGCTAGCTTAGACCTTGATCCTTCTACTTCTGCCTCCCAAAAAGCTGAGATTATACCATTAACCATCACACTGGCTAATTTTTGAGACAGGGTCTTGCTAACTTTTACCCAAACTGGCTTTGAACTGCAATCCTCCTGTCTCTAACTCCTAAGTAGCTGAGATTACAGACATGTACCACCATGCCTACCCTGTACTACTACTTTTTATTTATCCATTCATGGAATGCCTTCCATTTTGGCTTTTACAAATTATGCGACAATAATGAACGTTCATGTGCAAATTTTTGAGAATATGTTATTCTTTCTCTGTGCACTCTGTGAGTGGAATTGCTGGGCCACACAGTATGTCTATGTTTAACAGGTGGAGGAACTACCACAGTACTTTCCCAAGGCACTGCACCATTTGGCACTGCACCAGCAATGCGTATCTTCCACAACCTTGCCAGCACTTACTGTTGGCTTACATCCTAGTGAGTGTGAGTGTTTCACTGTGGTTTTTATTTGCATTTCCCTGATGGTAGTGATATTGTGCTAATTGGTCACCTCTATATTTTCTGTGTATAAATACCTCCTCAGATCCTTTGTCTACTTTTTAATTAGATTATTTAGCTTTTTACCATTAAGTTGTAAAGGCTGACCCTTGTAATTTTAAAAGCTTTAGCCAAAAGCAAGCTCAGAGTATATGCAAAGATTCACCACAATTTAAGACCTAATTCAGTCAATTCATGAAGAATTTTGTCTTTGCAGAACTAGTAAAAAATCTTTATGGCTCTAAGCATGGCAATAAATTCTATTTTCTGAATCTATAAGGACTATTTCAGTAACTAGAGTGACTACAGCAAAACAATAATGCGGTACCTTCCTCTAGGTACAATTGGTACCGTATACTGCATAATCACGCATTCTCAAGTCAGAATGCCTGGACTCAAGTTCCAGCTCCACTACTGCCTTGCTGTCTAACCTGGAGCTCATCACTTAACTTCTCTACACTTAATCTTCCTCGTGTAAAATGGGAATGATCCCAGCACCTGACCCTCAGGGCTGCTGTATAAACGGAAGGTATGTGACTGGCACACACAGGAAACGTAATAAACGTGAGTGATTTTCATTAGTTTTTAAAGGGAGATTCGTGTCAGGAGGTAAGGTTATAGTTCTGCTACCTCCCTCTTCCAGTCCCTGGGTCAGCTGATGAAGGTGGCTTCATAGATAGTAAGAAACACTTGAAGAAATAAACAGCTACCTTTATTTTTTCTGGATGCGACTCTTCAATTATCACATTACTTGTGGGCCAAGTTAACACACCAGGAAGACGACAAATCAAAGTTTTTGCCTTTTCGAAGTGATTGAGGGCTTCGAGAAACCTAAGTCGTAAGAAAGAAGATACTGAAGATGTGACACGGTATTTTCATTCATCACAGCAAAAAGTTATCAAGACCTCAAGTTTATTATGAAGAGTGCATTCAAAAAATGACTAGGCAGAAATAGTCAATGAACCTAAATTTTCTTTAAAAAGAAAACTAAGGCATTATTGTTATTTGCTATTGTAGTAATATAAACTAAACACAACTGTGTTCTCGACTCAGACTGTATTATATAAGGTGAGTTCTAGGTCTTTTAAAGTTGACAAAAGAATACTGAAGTACTTTTCATAAAGTCTTTATTCTTCTCTTCAGACAAGAGAATAAACCAATTTGCTGCTTCCTCCAATCTTAAAATGATCCCCCAATTAAAAAACGTATTTTGCCTGTAAGTGCAGAAAAGCTAGACCACCCTCCACCATAAGTTCCCAACAGCAGGACTATGAACCAAAAGTTGTACATTACAATGCCAAATTATTTAGAAATGAAAATATAAACACCTACCAATATGGCAGAAGCTTGTCAGCTTACCAGAGTCCCCATGATTTTACAAATTTATGCTGCATTCCTAGACTTTGTGAATACATGCATACATTAAAGAGCTACGGTCCTAAATAATTTATAGTACACTTTGAAGTTAATTTCATGTGCTATTCATATTGTGACTGTTAAATCCTCACTTCCCGTGTATTAACATAATTCTTAATATAGTTCAGTCTAGCTAGACAGTTACTTTACAAAGTGAAAGAACTTTGTTTAATCTTTAAAAATCTATAAAGGAGACTCTAGGCGCATTCTAAGTCTGGATTCCTAAGATTCTCATCAAGCTTCCTTTAAAAAGTTAGATGAAAATTTGAGGATACAGGTTGTGAATGATAATGAACCAGCTAACAATTATTTATTTATAAATTAACTTAATACACCTACCAATATGGGTGCAAAAACTGGCAGGAACAGAGATTTTTTTTTTTTAAGTGCAAGATATAATCCTGTCCACTAAGGGCCAGGCAATTTGAAAAGACAATACTAAGAGATAGGAAACGTTTAGAGAACAGCTACATGTTAAATATCAGAAAAATTCAGAGAACAGATTTTTTTGGGGGGGGTGCAGTATTGGGGTTTGAACTCAGGGCTTCACGCTTGCTAGGCAGGAGTTCTATGGCTTGAGCCACTCCTCCAGCTCTTGGGAAATAGATCTGCATACCTAATTCATGATGTCTTTGAATATGCAGGCACTTCTCATTTTCAGAGTTAGATTTGGGGCAAGGCAAGTGGCACTGGGATTGGATGCGAGGCGTGAGAGGCAGCCCTCTGTCACTCAATTCACACTCCATACCTAGACTTTTTGCTTCTTTGTTTGTGTTTTGCTTAGGATGTTTCATTAACTCTGCCTGGGCTCAAGCCACAATCTACAATCCTTCTACCTCTGCTTTCAAGTGTCTTGGATGACAGACATGCACCAGCACACCTGGCCCACAATTAGATTTTTAGAGCATTAATTTATATCAATTAAACTAAATTACTTTCATTTACATCAACTCAGTCTCATTTATAGATGACATGTACTAAAGGATATTAAATGCTTCAGGTTAAATTACTCAACTATTGACTTTCTTATTAAATTCAAAATTAGGAAATACCAGGAACTACACTGACAGGCCTTGGTTTAATAATTACTGAGATGCTAGCTTAAGGTAAGTCACAATTATGACAGTGTGCTACACATAAAATATGAAAATAACTGCAGAAAAGGGATCATTGCAGAAAGGGGACATTAGACTTCACATGAGTAAAGAGTCTAGTGCTCACTGCTACTCACCTGTTCTTTTTCAAATATACTTTTCCGATTCCACAGTAGGCCAAGCAATCAAGTCCCTCGTTGGGGTAGTGTTCAATAATTCTCTTAAACTGGTTTTCAGCTTCAGATAACTCCTACAATAGCAGTGTGACCAACATCACTTATACTAAAAGAAAAACACTGGAACGGACTCTATCTGAAACAACTTTTTCTTTTTGAGCAATATTAAGTGAATACATATCAAAAAGTTCATACAAAAAATTATGCTTTCTGTATTTCATTTGCTTAGAAATTATATAAATTTCTGATCATGTGGCTATTCAGATAGTCATATGGAAACTCAGATATACAACAAAACCAATCCTGCTGGAAACACCAGACAGCGAACCACTGTCGTTGAATGTTTACTAGTTATTAAGGTCCTGGTGTCAGTACTAAAAGACTGATTTTATTGTAAACACACCATAACATGCATTCTAGTAGGTGCTAAACACACCATAACATGCATTCTAGTAGGTGCTGTTCCCTTAGAAAGCCTGGCATTCCAGTGGAATTACCAGTTTTGTGGCATACAACAGTAAAAGTTCTGTCTAAAAACTGCACTTCAGGTGTGTGTGGCAGGGGATAAAGGAAAATGATGGAAGGGGTGAATTTAAGTATGATATATTTGATATATTGTAAGAACCCCTACCCAGCACAACAATAAAAACATAAATAAATAAAATAAAATTTGGAAAAATTCACCAATTTTCCTTTTTTTTTAAAAGACACTTTAGTAAAAACTTTAAGAGAGTTCAGAGTGCATTCTTCTGAATAGTCTCAATAGTGGGAAACTTTGTGGTTTAAATAAATTTTATTTTTGGAAAAATTCCCAAAGATATTTAGTTCTAAGAAATACTGGCAATCCCACTTTAGTGTAAAAGGAGCTTGTAAGAAGCTTTTTTTTTAATTAATTTATTACTTTGGTGGTAATGGGGTTTGAACTCAGGGTTCTCACATTTGCTTAGGCAAATGTGACTACCACTCGAGTCACTCTGCCAGCTCTTATATGTGCTTGGTATTTTCTCTTTTTAAAAATTTTATTTATTTTTATTTTTTATTATTGTATTATTGTACTGGGTACAGTGTGATATTTACAAAAGTGTTTACAATATATCTTGTTAAATTCACCTCCCTCATCATTCTCTTTTATTTCCCCTTCCCCATTATAGAAGTTTCAACAGGTCTCATTTTTCCATTTTCATACATGAGTACATAATATTTCCATCATAGTCACCATCCTACACCCTTTCAAGAACTATTTGCTCAGACTGGCCTCAAACTGAGATCCTCCTGATCTCTGCCTCGAGTAGCAAGGATTATAGGTGTAAGCCACTGAGCCTGGCTTGTAAGAAGCTTTGAGGCTGGTTTCAAAGATCATTCCAAAAATATTTGAAACAAGGGCTGTGCTAGCATAAACACATGGCTTCCTTAAGTGACTACTTGGATGAAAATCTTAAATGTAGAAGCTCTACACTAAATAATCTATTCTACTGCTCTGTATGAAACTGTACTGTTTATTTTGTGCACTTACTTAAATCAGTCTCATTATTTTACAGTAAATCACAATTGCAATAAACTATTTCTTCAATTCTGATAAGGCAAAAGATGATATTTATTGTTCTGTCAAGATACAATTAAATTATGAAGTCTTATTTCCAATAATCAATTAGAAAACAGAATTATATAGGAATTAATGGAAGACATTCCATCTTTTACATGAAGAACAAGAAAAATGAACCTCAGGCACTATGGACCCCTGTGAGTGAGTGGACATAAAAGATACTTTGATCTTAACTGAGTGGCAGCTTAGGGCGTAAGCTTTCATTTAAGCGAGGAAGGCTAGAGTCCAAGTTGGCAGAAAGGGCATCTAGAATGACCTGTAGATCATCTCAGCATTTACAGAAACCCAAAAACCACCAGCCATGGAAAACAGTCATAGCATGCACAGTGCAGTTAAGTAAGCACCTAGGAAAGCACAGCAGGGTCACAGGCAATGGAAACCATAGGAACACAGATCATGTGTCATTATGGGCAGAATGCATTCAAAACATAATCAAATACTTTGTATTCACCACCCAGACTGAGACATTAACAAAACCATTTTACTTCACTTTTTGTTTTTTTGGTGGTATTAGGATTTGAACTCAGGGTGCTTACAAAGCAGCCACTCTACCACTTGAGCCACACATGCAGTCCCATTTTTACTTTTGTTTTCCTAATAAAACAGCAAAACACAAAGTTGACATCTTCTTTTTAACCTCCCCTGAATCACTCCAGCCTTCTATCACTAAATGCAACCATTATCTGAAATCTGATGCAGGAAGAGTACGAGTTTTGTACCTTCATCAGATGCATAGAGATCCATAAATAATCCACCGCATGGCTCTGTTTGAAACTGTACATAAATGGGATCACAGTGTTTTTGTTCTCCAACTTGCCCTTTTTCCTCAATATTATGCTTTTGAAATCTATCTTCCATGATACATAAGGTATCACCAATTGCCAGGCATAGCCTTTTTCTACTAAGAATACAAATAATTTTTTTTTTTGAGACAGTGTCTTGCTATGTGGCCTATGCAGGCTTCAAACTCATGATCCTTCTTCCTCTGCCTCATGGGTGTTAGGACACATGTGTGTCACCAAACACTGCCCAAATTTTCTTTAAAAAGAAAAAACACAAACTATCCCAGCACATGGGAGTTGGAGGCAGGAGGACTATGAGTTTGAGGCCAGTCTGGGCTATATAATAAGACCCTATCTCAAGGTCTCTAAACTGAAGAGAACACCCACAGAGTGGGAGAAAATATTGGCCAACTATACATCAGACAAAGGACTGATAACCAGAATATACAGGGAACTTAAAAAACTAAATTCTCCCAAAACTAATGAACAATAAAGAAATGGGCAAGTGAACTAAACAGAACTTTCTCAAAAGAAGAAATTCAAATGGCCAGAAAACACATGAAAAAATGCTCACCATCTCTAGCAATAAAGGAAATGCAAATTAAAACCACGCTAAGATTCCACCTCACCCCTGTTAGAATAGCCATCATCAGCAACACCACCAACAACAGGTGTTGGCGAGGATGCGGGGAAAAAGGAACCTTCTTACACTGTTGGTGGGAATGTAGACTAGTACAACCACTCTGGAAAAAAATTTGGAGGCTACTTAAAAAGTTGGACATCGATCTACATTTGATCCAGCAATACCACTCTTGGGGATATACCCAAAAGACTGTTACTCCAGAGGCACCTGCACACCCATGTTTATTGCGGCACTATTCACAATAGCCAAGTTATGGAAACAGCCAAGATGCCCCAGCACTGACGAATGGATTAAGAAAATGTGGTATCTATACACAATGGAATTTTATGCAGCCATGAAGAAGAACGAAATGTTATCATTTGCTGGTAAATGGATGGAATTGGAGAACATCATTCTGAGTGAGGTTAGCCTGGCCCAAAAGACCAAAAATCGTATGTTCTCCCTCATATGTGGACATTAGATCAAGGGCAAACACAACAAGGGGATTGGACTATGAGCACATGATAAAAGTGAGAGCACACAAGGGAGGGGTGAGGATAGGTAAGACACCTAAAAAACTAGCTAGCATTTGTTGCCCTTAATGCAGAGAAAATAAAGCAGATACCTTAAAGCAACTGAGGCCAATAGGAAAAGGGGAACAGGTACTAGAGAAAAGGTTAGATCAAAAAGAATTAACCTAGAAGGTAACACCCATGCACAGGAAATCAATGTGAGTCAATGCCCTGTATAGCTATCCTTATCTCAACCAGCAAAAACCCTTGTTCCTTCCTATTATTGCTTATACTCTCTCTACAACAAAATTAGAAATAAGGGCAAAATAGTTTCTGCTGGGTATTGAGGGGGGGAGAGGGAGGGGGCGGAGTGGGTGGTAAGGGAGGGGGTGGGGCCAGGGGGGAGAAATGAACCAAGCCTTGTATGCACATATGAATAAAAGAAAAATGAAAAAAATAAATAAATAAAATGCTTTTTCCAGGAAAAAAAAAAAAAAAAGTTCCTTTTACAAAGTGAAAGGAAATAGTTTGAAAAAAAAAAAGACCCTATCTCAAAACAAAACAAAAAAACCCAAAATCAAACTTAGCTATTTCAGAATTTCAAGGACATATGCAGAAGGAAATAAGCCAAAATGGGAAAACAATTTTTATATAGCTTCTAAAATTATGTCATATTTTAATTGTTTATCTGTTGCAAATCTTACCTCAGGCTGTCCTATTCCAAGGAGAGAAATGGCAAGTCCATAGACGACTAATACATAGTTAATCATAGCCAAGTTCAATTGCTGTCAATAAAAATGCTTTTGTTAAAAATGTGAGCATAATTCTGCCTAATTTGCATCATACTGACCACAGAAAAAGGGGTAATAACTCACTAATCAATATGACTGGGCTAAAGATCAATTAGAATACACATTTTGTAAAGATAAGTATTATATTGTTATTAAGTATTAAAAACCCAGAACCAATGTCTCAGAGTTCCTTGAGGCATATTTTACAACAGATTAGATTAATTTTTAGTTAAAGTCAAATTATTTTGCATGTAAGTGAATACTTGTGACAGATTAAGTAGGACAGCTGTTCTCTTACAACTTTGCTTAAACTACTGACTTACGTAGTTAATACTTTCTTGCTGGATGAAAAGATGTAACTACAGTGAGTCCAAATCCTTAACTTAGTACTTTTAATAAGAGAAAAGGCCAGGAGGTTCTAATGAACCCAAACAATGGCCAAGAAGTGAGTATAAACATGGGTTATGTATTGAGTATAATTATAAAGTCTGAATTGGAAGCATTACCTGCCTCCCACAACCTGGGGAGATTTGCCTGAGCTGGTATAATGTATGTACGTGAATTAGGTCCTTACTTCTCTTCTACATTCATCTGAGGTGCATTATAAATAGTTATGATTCACTGACTTTACCTTTATTTTTTGAGGATCTAAGCCATTTAACAATTCTGTAAAGGCTTGTGCAGCACTGCGGCAACGCTGCTCCAACAAGGCTGTGTAACCATCCTGAATTAAGCTTCTGAGCATTTTCATTATATTAGCAAAATCCTGCAGAGAAGAAATACTGTCTCAGTAGTTAAAATCTGTAAATTTTTAACTGAAGTTAAGATGCTAAATTCATCAGTAATATTTTATAAGTGATAATAAATACTTAGTACTATAACTACCCTTTATATATTTCTCAGAAATTCATTATTCTTTAAAATGGAAATTAAAAGGTACTTCACCATCTTCATTCTAACACATCTGCCATTGGTCCTGACACAAAAGGGTGGTTCATTTTACTCTATGTGATGCTAAGTCTTGCTTGCTTTTTCAGACTAAAGCAACTTTGACAACATATACAAAGAACACCAACCATCACTTCAATAAGTAAACGGTTTGGCTGGGACTAGAACAATTAGACACAAAAACAATCAATCTATGTAATGGTTACTATCTTGTATTAATAACTGCCACGATGCTTTGAAACAAACCTTAATTTTAAGCAAAAAAGTAGATATTTTAATCTTTAACTCTACTCTTAACATGTACTTAAATATAGCCAGACAAATTTACTGGAAGATATTAGTATATCAAATGCAAAAGGAAAAACATCAAAAGTGAAAAACAAAAATTAAATAAAGAAACACTTTGTAATTTTACTACATATGGGCACATAAATTATGATTTGAATTCAGATTTTAGATAGCTGGCAAGAGCAGTCAGAAGAACTGTGTAAAGACTGGACAGACAAGACTAGACACTCCTTGCAATACAGGTGTACACACTCAATAGAGCAGAAAATACAAATCTGAGTGCAACAGCCCTCTGTTCCAAACAGTAAAAATCCAAAAGGAGAGCTAACTGCACAGAGGGAAAGCAATTTGGTCACACATTGACAAAAGCTTCTTGCTCATTTCCTGTAAGACAAAGTTCAGGAAAACATTCCTCCAAAATGTGCATGGAACAGAGCAGCTCTCACATAAACCTGGTATTTGTTACAGTAATTAAAAAATACAATGATAGTCATATTTACTTTAAGGTATCAACTGGAGGGTATAAAGATGATTTGTTATTCCCACAAATGCTAGTTACTAGCCTTGCATTAATTGATTCAATTTTACTCTCTTTCTCATTTGAGAAAACAGATCCCTGTAACCTCATGTTTTCATTGGGAACTATTTCCGCCAATATAACACAACACAGATTACCTGTAATGGAAGCGCCACCTGAGCAAGTGGAGTCACCTCACTACAGACTCAATCTCATTATCTTCAGCATATGAGAGACCCCGTAAAAATGTGCTAGGTAAACAAACGGGGGGTTCAAAAAAACTGTCATGCATGTTTAAATAACCTTCTTATGGTGTATCACACACACAGACTTTCTATTCTAAGACCTTCCGGGTTTTTAGACTCAACAAAATCAATTGGGAACACATAATTGAAAAATAGCCAACTGTTAGGAATTCTAAAAATGCTTTTACGTAAATGATTATAAATCTATTTTAGTCCTTTGGGATGTCTGTTACATAGAACTAAAGTAATTAATAGAATTTTTAAATGACCCATATATTTTGAAATAAATACTACATGCCATGCCTTTTTCATCACTAGTTAACATAGCTTTTATATACAAAGCTTTTGTTATTTTATTTACATATGATATTCATCTGCTTAATGATCAATCATTCAAAGAAAATATGTGCTCCTTAATCATTTACAGTAGGCATAATGAAACTGCAAATGTTTCAATCTTTTAAAATTATTTCCATTAGTTAAAAGTCTGGCTGACAATTATCAAGTTAATGTTTAAATAAGTGATAGTTTGATTTCTTAGCAAACATATTAAATCACAACTAGAACTTTACTCATGTGAAAATGTTTTGCTCAAAAGTGTTTGCTTTTTCGATTGAAAAAGGCTTCTTCTCCATTACCTGGTGTGCAGCTCTGGAAGTTTTAGAAAATTGTTTCTCCAAGATATTTTTCAAATCTACTGGTAAAGTCAACTGTGAACCAGAACTAAAAAAGAAAAGCATTTTTTTTTGAATTATTTAAAAGTAATACAGCCCTACTTACAAAAAAGAAAAAGTGTGTTTACTAAAGTTCACTTAAAATACTCAGTAAATGGAGACTCACGTGAGCATCTGATAGAAATCCTATCAAGATGCTGATTTCCACCCCAAGATAAGATTTATAAATCCAATGCAATCTCAAGTAGGTCCCCATGAAATTAGAAAAAAACATACCTGAATTTTTCTGATTCATTGTTTCGGGATTTTTGTTTTCCTTTATGTTTTGGAGGCTGACCTGTGAATATAAAAATATTTGTTCCTGAATCGGGTACATAAAAATTCATAAGCTTGAGAGGAAAACAACAAAAAAATGTAAATTGGAGTAAGAAAGCCAAAGAAGCAATAATGTGTGAGAGTATAACTACAAATAGGCCAAGAAAGAGGTTACTAGTCTATATATGAGGTAAAATTATGATAAAAAATTAAAATACTGATAGTTATTCTTTAGGTATACAGCACGTAAGAGATAAAGGTGATAGGTCCTATATTCAGGCAGTTTACAATCAGATTGGAAGAAAAGACACATTGCTTCAGTAATTACACAATCACCATTACAAAGAAAGAAGATAACATTGTTACTGCAATACTAATTCCATAGTCTCTCATAACTCACAAAAGGGAGGAGTCACTTAAGCTGGAGTGGTGGGGAAAACATGACTGAAGCTTCAGTATCTGTGTTTGATTTTGAAGAAAAGGTAGGATTTGGACAAAATGATGCAAACCCAAGGTAGAATTTACTTCAGAAATTAGAAACAAAAACGTACACTCCAGAGAGCTCCACAAGGGTGGAAGACTGAACAGGGACTGCAAAGGCAGTTGAGGTATGCATTTACAGACCCCTCCCAACACATCCCTATTCCACTAGGAATGGAAGCCATTGCCTCTTTGAGGGCTGGCAAGCAAGGTGCTCAAAGCTATATAAAAATGTTAGTATGTCAGGAGGACAGGGAGTTATGTGACAGAAGGTTTACAGAGAAAGCATGGAAAGAAGTCAGTGGAAATAAGAGGGAGAACAGAACCCGAGCTGACTTTGGTGGCTTCAAAAACCACAAGGCTTCTAAAAAGGCAGAAGAGTTCTAGTGATTTCTGCTATATGACCCTGAGCACAACTACTTAATCCTAACCCTGGTACATCAAGTTTTTCACCTGATTGTAGATGCTGATGGACAAAGTTATTTCAATTTGCTGTCAGAAAATAACAGAAATGTTAATACCTTAAAAACTATCTTCCAAAAAGTTTGTCCTCAAAGATGTTCACATTCTGTTAGAACTACATCAGAAAAGACAACTGAAGTTAAGTTAAATAAGTTTCCCACTTAAGTATATTAATGTGATAACCACATGGAGATGCCTAGTACTAAAAGGCTGGATATATGGAATTGGAGCTTGAGGGAAGATGGAGCTATAGACAGCAAAAGACAGAAATGACTGCTACAAGCAAAATCATGGAAAAGAAAACAAGCCAACCCGTAAACGAAAGACGAGAACAGGATATCATTAACAATCTCACCCTGATAACCCTGAAAGCAGCACTATGTGAAAGAAAACAACCTTGAGTCATCAAGAAAATCTGTATTTCCTTAGACTCTTAAAAGGCAGAGAAGCATGTAATTCACTTTAAACAGATTTCCATTAAAATAGGTATACAAGGGGAGATACAGAAATGCATTAATTTTTCCTTCTCTGCAACCCCCTTCATCTCCTTCATCATGTAATGAGGTCCTACTGTTGTACATTTACCAGATGCAGACATAGGCATATGCACTGAATATGCACAACTTAGACTAAATGAGAATTAGCCAAAAGTATTCTTTTGTTCTGAATAGCTGTGCTGTCTCAAGATTCGTATGTTGAAAACCAAATCCCTAAGGTGATGATGTTAGGGGGTGAAACCTTCAGGAGCTGATGAGGTCATGAGGCAGAACCCTCATGAACGGAATTAGGACCTTTATGAGAGGCCATAGAGAGTTGCCTCATCCCTTCTCCATGTGAGCACACAGCAAAAAGACAGCCATCTATAAATCAGGAAGAGTCCTCAGTAAGCTGGCACCATAGTGGACTTCCAGGTCTGCAGAATGTGAGAAGTAAACGCATGCTGTCTGCTACCCAGTTTATGGTATTTTTGTTATAGCAATTCACCTAGACTAAGACAAGTATACTCTAACAACAGGGAAGTATCCTTTCTCAACCACCTCCAATTGTGTGAAAATTAGTTGTTTGAACATGAAAAAAAAAATCTAACTATTTTTACATGTAGAGGACAGATGCACATACAGTACATACACAGATCAGTATTGAAATTTCATGGAGGAGGCCAACTAGGGAAAAAGCATTTAAAAGGGCTCCTTGAGAGTAGAGGATGAGAAGCAATAATGAAAACTTTCAATAATGAGAAAAATGACCTAAAGGAAATTAAGGAGCAGATTAAGAAAAGCTGTGTACTTCCTTTCTTTTCATTCCTTTAATTGGATTTATAAAATTAAATGTATTAAATAACATGAAAAACTGAGCATTTATTTCAATTAAGTTTTTTCTTTGGTAGTACTGGGGTTTGAATTCAAGTCCTTACACCAGCTAGGAAGGAGCTCTATCAGATGAACCACTCCACTAGCCCTTTTTTATTTTAGTTATTTTTCCAAATTCTGTCTTGCATCGTTGCCTAGGGCTGCCCTCGACCACGAACCTAAATGTATGCTTCCTGCATAACTGTAACTACAGACATGAACCACCCTGCCAGGCTTATTTGTTGAGATGGCATCTTGATAACCTTTTGCTAGGGCTGGCCTCAAACAACAATCCTCCCAATCTCTGCCATACAAGTAGCTAGAGATTCTAGGCATAAGCCACCAAACCCAGCCCTCAACGTTTTCTTAACATAGAAATTGCTATTATTTGAATGAGTCCCACTAAAGTTCATGAAGAACTATGGGACTCTAATCTTGTCTTTCTCTCCCTTCCTCTCTCTCTGCTTCCTGGATCAAGATATGACAGTTGTCTTTGTCACACATTCTGGGCCACTGCCATCCACAGCCCTCACCAGAATGGAGCAGTGCAGGTGACATGCCTTCCATCCTCCAGAATCCTGAGCCAAACTAGACCTCCTTTACTTCATAACTATTCTGTGTCAGGTATTTCATTATAGCGATGCAAAGCTGACTAACACAGCAGCATTATAATTATAAAGGAGAAGAACAAGCACAAACAAGAGTGAGGCTTGTGCAGGTTTCCATGCACAAAGGGTTAGGCAACACTATGTTAACTCAGGAACAGTTTATGTAAGAAAAAGACCCACTCACTTGATGATGGTACAAATTCAGGATGACAGTCACAATCATCTCCCTTCAAAGCCTCATCTGCCACCTGCCCATGAAAATAAAACTAGTGAGACTTTCGAAAATAATACAGCCATGAAGAAGTGAGTAGTTGTACAACAGAATACAACAGAGTTCACTCACTCACTTAAAATATGCTGCTGGTTAAGCACAAATGTATAAATGAGCAATCAAAATGATAACTAATGACAAGAGATCAAGATAAATGGCAAATTCTTAAATGATAGTTCTGTTTCTGTTTTTCTTGTTAACAAGGGTTTGAACTTAGGGCCTTAACTCTTAAGCCACTCTCCCAGCCCTTTCTGCACAGGCAGGCCTTTAACTGTGGATCCTCCTATCTCCATTTCCCAAGTAGCTGGGATTTCAGCCACAAGCCACTGTGCCCAACCTGACAATTCTATTTCTGACGTTAGCATAACGTGTGATGGGGCAGTTGTTAACGCTTCTACTGAATCAGTACCATCATATTTTCCTAACTCCTCTCCCTAAAGAATGTAGCTGCTTGGAGGTTTTTTAAATTATCCACAAAAGGATGGATGTTGAAAAAATTCCATTCGATGTCCATCAGCCACCTAATGTCAAAACAACATTTGTCTTTTCTTCCCTCAAATGTTGAAGAGAAATATAAATGTGAACTTGGTGATACATGCTGAGTTTTGTATATAATTCAGGTCAGAGAAAAACACATTCATCTGGGACATGTGACCACTGAGTCAGACAAGAGGCCTGACAGTGCTCTGAAGAAAACATCAGCCCATGACTTCTACTAAAAGCAGGGCTGAGACCACTGCTTGCAAGGGCAACAAAAGCTGCATGTACACCTTGGGCAAGAGGTGGAAGAGAGCCCATCCTAACCCCCCCAGCACAGCACAGTTGGCTGATGGACTGCTGTAGAGCCAGGCAACCAAACAGATTGCAAAAGGGAAAGGAAGGAAAAGAAAAACCCAAAACATTGTGAAATAGGGCAGAGGTGACTTGGCCACCAGATCCCATTGTCACTCATTCCTAAGAAACTGGTTAGCAGACATAAATAAAGGACAGACAAACAAACTAACAGGCAAAATGATATTTAGAAAAAATATTTTACAACACATGAATGTGATTTTGAAGGAACTTTTATGACTGTGAGTTATTATCTTTACGTAGTTGTATGAAATAGATTACTCACTAAACAGAATCATTTTCTTGGTATTAATAGGCAAAAAGGGGTTAATATTGCCAACATGTTTGGTTTCCACTATCACCAAAATATTACTGTAAAAATGTAAGGCTACTTATGTTTGAAACAATTATAATTTTAAATAGGCTTACCTTTAGATTCTGATTACTACCACCATTGGCCATTTCGTGGTTAGTTCTTCTGAAATCCCTTTCTGTCTCCACAAAGTTAAGTGATGTACTAAAAGCAGGTGCTGATAAATTTCTAGGTACGTAGGCCCTGAGAGAAAGAATAAAAGGAATGATTGCTTTATACCCATTAATTAAGATGCAGGATAAAAAAATGGTTATCCTTCAAACAACAGCAATCATAGCCTTTTTTCCTTGAAATCAAGGTACTGAAACCCCACTACTGGGGTTTTAGACATAAAACAGTTTTTTAAATTTGGTAAGCAATTCAAAATAAGTTAACAATGGTTCAAAGCAAGTACCCAGGGTTCCAATTTTAAAGTAACTAAGCCTTCCTGTTCTGCATTTGACAGTTTCAAAATCCTACACATATAAATAAGCATGGAAAAAAAGCTTAATTTACTTTAATAAGCAAATAAGCAGATGTAAAACCCAGCTAGGCTGCGACTTGTTTTCTTATAAGCATACTTAAATCTATCTACAACATCTGGAAGACATCAGGAGGCACAGGATATGTCCCAGCTCTCTGCAGCATGAACCCTCTTGACCCAAACCGGTCCCCTTTCAAGCACAGTGACTCTGAATTTACATTGCACCACACTTTTCCCATAGGCTTAGGCTCCTAATCTCTAAGATGTACACATCCAAATAGCTCAGTAAAACAGTAAGCAAAATAAATCTGACCACTCACAGACCATCTTATCTTAAGCATGAGAACACACACACACTCTTTCTCTTTCTCTCTCTTCCATCCCCAACTTTACTGTGGTTACTATTAGCTCCTACAGTGGTAAACACAGCGACCCTTACATTCATGAGGCAAAGCCATTTCAAGTAACATCTACTGACCAGATATTAACTCACCTGCTTTCGTAAAAAGCTTTAATTGGATTCTTAGTAGGTGTTCGACCTATAAAAGTCAATCACACACACACACAAGTAATCAATGGGCTGGCAACACAGACTTCAAAAGATTTTTAAATTTCCCTTAAGCTGACAGCTAAGAACATCAAATTTAGAAAGCTGAAAAATAAACCTAAACAACTTAAAAACCCTAGATATTTTAAATTTCAGTTTAGTGTCAACACATTGCTACACAATCGTGTCAAAAATTCCACTCCATGTGATCACTGACAAGATGACAAGAATTCATAAACTTGAATCAGATGGTGCCTGTCTTCAAGAAACTCACAGTCTTGGAATTATGTTCCATGGGATGGCAGTCAGACAGACAGCAGCTGCTAGTGAGACAGAACTGCTCTTCTTAGCTCTGTGCACACTAGAACTCAAGAGAAAAATAAGACCCATACACTGAAAGTGTAGAGTAAGGCAATTTCAAGCACTTAAGAAAGAAAAAAAGGCTATGGGAAGAGAAGAGCAGAACGAAAATGTACAACTCCTAATCTGCAGAGCCAATTTATGTATGTGTGTGTGTGTGTGTGTGTGTGTGTGTGTGTGTACACATGTACATGTACATGCACGCACATATGTACAGATGTTCACTCTGCTGTAGTTTTGGTTGCAAACTTGGTGCAAAAAACCATCAGGCAATTGTACTGAAGAGATTTTGCAATAGGAAATTAATAACTGAGGAAAAAATTAAAGTAATTTTCTTTCAAAAAGCTTTTATCTAAAATTTCTGGAAAAGATATCTTTCTACAAAAGAAAAAGTAATAATTTGGTCGCTGTTTCAAATAAAAAATACAAATCACTTAAAATTAACCTAATGGAACATAACACAAATGTAATTCTACACAGATAGAAATGGAAAGCTAAAGTGACCTGACCAAGATAATGTAACGAAGTACAAATCATCTGAGAATTGATTTATGGTCTTCCATTAAACCAAGAAACCCACCTTCAAAAGTTTTAAAGGGAATTTGTCTATAATCAAAAGAATCTTAGGAGAAATACCTTGTAGGTCTTCTATTTGTTTTTGTAACTTTACATGCTGCTGAATTAGGTCCTTGATTCCCTCAGGGTCATTTTTACAGAGTTTTTGAGCTTTTATGTTTGCTTGCAGGGCCCAGTCATATTCCCCCAGCATAGAAAGAGCATCACAATAACGATAATGACCCTGTTCCAAAAAGATAAATTTAATTTTTTCTCAAAAATATGCTCAAGTTAAAGAAAATAGATAAGGAAAAATACTTTGCTTGAAAACAGATTAGTTACTTAAAATGTTAAATTAGGACCCTAGCAAATGAAAAAATAAATAAAAATGTTAATACTCTAGGGAATAAATTATCTAATGAACTAAGTGAAGCTATGAATAGGCAAATAATTTTTATCAGTGAACTAGAGAGCAACATTTTTGTTTACGAGATTTTTATACCCCAGCATAAAATCTTTTGATATGCTTTACTAATTAAGAATAAAATATAATATTTCGTGCCAAGTAAAGCGTAAAAGTCATTCACTATAAATAAATAAGGTTTTCAAAAATACTTTATAGCAGTATGTCTCTCAGTCATGACGTTCACTACACTATGGAAATCAGAAGGTTTCTGGAGCTGGAAGCAACCAGCTCATGCAGTAGCATCCCAGCACTTCCAAAGTGCATAGGCACAAACAAAGGGTACAGGGGGACTAACTCCTCCCCTCATCCCTCTTCCCTCTAATCACCTTTTGTTTTATCTCTAAGAATAGTTTCCAAATTGAAGTGATTTTACTCTTTAATTCCAATGATAATGGTTTTTGGGTCTAGTTTTTTTTTATTACAGAATCAAAATCCTTTTCGGCTCAACATTTGAGAAAACTGTACCAATGGTGAACTTCTTAATTCAGAAAGCTAATAATACTTAGGGCTAAATGAACAACCCCTCTCCTAGCTACTCACAAACCTAACTTCCATTTTAGGCACAATGACTCCATTAGAGAGATGATTTATCAGCGAAAAGAGGTTAGGGAACTCTGATTTTATGACGCTTGGTCCAGATCTCTTCTTTACTACATATTATTTTTATTTATTTGTTTTTTGGCAGTACCAGAGTTTGAACTCAGGGCCTCATGCTACTAGGCAGGTACTCTACCACTTTTTTTTTGTTTGTTTTTGTGTTGGGTATTTTCTTTTTCTTTTTTAATTTTTTAATTTTTATTGCTTTATTATTCATATATGCATACAAGGCTTGGGTCATTTCTCCCTCCTGCCCCCCACCCCCTCCCTTACCACCCACACCACCCCCTCCCTCTCCTCCCCACCCCCTCAATACCCAGCAGAAACTATTTTGCCTTTATCTCTAATTTTATTGAAGAGAGAGTATAAGCAATAATAGGAAGGAACAAGGGTTTTTGCTGGTTGAGATAAGGACAGCCAAACAGGGAGTTGACTCACATTAATTTCCTGTGCGTGTGTGTTACCTTCTAGGTTAATTCTTTTTGATCTCACCTTTTCTCTAGTTCCTGGTCCCCTTTTCCTATTGGCCTCAGCTGCTTTTAAAGTATCTGCTTTAGTTTCTCTGCGTTAAGGGCAACAAATGCTAGCTAGTTTTTTAGGTGTCTTACCTATCCTCACCCCTCCCTTGTGTGCTCTCGCTTTTATCATGTGCTCATAGTCCAATCCCCTTGTTGTGTTTGCCCTTGATCTAATGTCCACATATGAGGGAGAACATACGATTTTTGGTCTTTTGGGCCAGGCTAACCTCACTCAGAATGATGTTCTCCAATTCCATCCATTTACCAGCGAATGATAACATTTCGTTCTTCTTCGTGGCTGCATAAAATTCCATTGTGTATAGATACCACATTTTCTTAATCCATTCGTCAGTGCTGGGGCATCTTGGCTGTTTCCATAACTTGACTATTGTGAATAGTGCCGCAATAAACATGGGTGTGCAGGTGCCTCTAGAGTAACCTGTGTCACAGTCTTTTGGGTATATCCCCAAGAGTGGTATTGCTGGATCAAATGATAGATCAATGTTTAGCTTTTTAAGTAGCCTCCAAATTTTTTTCCAGAGGCACTCTACCACTTAAGCCACTCTGCTAGTCCTGTTTTTTTGTATTGGGTATTTTTGAGACAGGGTCTCAAGAACTATCTGGCCGAGCTGGCCTCAAACTGCGGTCCCTCTGATCTCTGCCTCCGGAGTAGCTAGGATTGTAGGTGTAAGCCACCAGCACACAGCCTACTGCATATTTTAAAAGGACATGCTGATTCAATGAGAAAATACAAAACAAAAAATAAGTGATCCAGGGTTGGGCATGTAGCTCAGTGGTAGAATACTTGTCTAGCATGTACAAGGCCCTAGGTTCCATCTCTAGCGCCTTCAAAAGGTGACCAATTTAAAAAAGATCAACTTTTCACAAGAATCACATGGCATGTGTTTATGCAGGCTCAATGCTGTGTTTGTGAGTTCTATAGAATTTTTAGTCTGACTCTTTTGGCTTGGACCAAAGGTTTCAATTAAGGTCATTTCATTAAATTCTGTTTTTCCTTAGAGGGTAGAGGCCCTGTTGCTTGACACCTAAGGTGTAAAAAAATAAAGAAATCTCTTGGATATGCTACAAGGTCAAAATCCTACCTCTAGACATTTGTCAACCTCTAAGTTTACTTATTTACTTATTGGAAGTACTGGGGTTTGAACTTGGGGCCTCAGGCTTGCTAGGTAAGCACTCTACTACTTGAGCCATGCCCACAGTCCAACTTTAAAGTTTAGATAACTGTATTTAAAAAATAAAACACAGCTGGCACAAGAAACAATGGTAGATAATAAATCGTATCTACTACATTTGCAGAGAATATTTTATTTCTCATTTCCCCTCACTATTCTTACCTTGTACTGGGATTCTTTTCCCTAAACCCCATAAAAGTCAATATAACTTCTGTTGGTTGAGAAGAAACTTTATTCAGATTCCTTTGCTGAAGTTGTTCCAATGAAGCTTAAATTGAAAGTATCTCAGTTTCATGACCCCAATCGCCATAGAAAGTTTGTTCTTTGGCACTCTCTCATTCTCTACCACATAAATGAAAATTTCCCATTGTACGTCTGCCTATCTTCCCCTCACCTTAGAGGCCACCATTTCCTACTCCTCAGTCATAGTGAACTGTCAATTCTAGTTCTTCACCCCAACAAAGGGCAGTAGGGTGAACGCATGAATGGCTGTGACCCAGGAATCTGGCCAATAGAATTGTACCATTTCCCAGGTTGCTGTCATTGACCCACAGGTGGGCATCTGACTCCATCAGGCTCAGCCTGAGATACCCTAAAGTTTTCCCTATAGATACAGAGGTTCTCTTTTCACTAGACTAAAAGCTATTAAGGGTATTGGGTTGTTTATATAAAATGAACCCAGAAAAGCCTATGTTCTAACTTCCACTTCTGGACAAGATGGAGTATCAGGGACTGGATTTACTCTTCTCAACAAACAAACAAAAAAGACAAAAGATATGAACCTATAGCTTGCAAGCACTGAACTCTGGACAACAAAACAGTGATCCTTGAGAAGAGAAACACACTGAGACCTAAGACTGCTCCAGTTTACTGAGAAGAGAGTTCCTAAGCCTCAGCACAAGAAGAAAGAACCCAGACAGAGGTGGAAAGTCTCAGAGATGGGAGGCAGAAGGACCAGGTCAGCTTGAAGTTCAATGGGGATGTGGCCAGAGGAGAATGCTTCACAGAGGGAAAACTCGGGAAGGTCCTCCTAGGGTCTTCAGCTAAGTATTGATCAGCGCACACTGATCAGAGAGAGAGCCACCTATAAGACTAACAGGGAACAGTAGCCAGAACTTGCATAAACCAGCTGTAACTGCTTTTCCCATCAACCAGAGAGTCCTAGGACATCAAGTAGTATACTCAGAAAAATGGGGGGTCGGGGAGGGAGAATCAGCCTCAGAAAGCTTTAATGCTCTTTTTTAAAGCATTGAAAATAGATCAAAATTTATAAGAGGTATCTTTGGAAAATCAGTATCATGGTCTGGGTTTAAATATTCAGAGTTCTATCATCCATTCCTTCTACAAATATTTATGGAGTAACTGCCAAATGCCAAGTTCAGTGATCAGCAAAGGTCTGTTTCAAGCAAAAGAACGACTCAAAATGAAAACAGCAACAGACTGACCACTCTCAAACACAAGCTTCATCCAGAACTGAATTCTCACTCCATCTCTGTCTTTTAAAGGTTCACAGTGACACTTTGCACAAATGTCTATACTCTCTGGCACTCAATTTCTTCATCTTAAAAATGAGGCATTTAAGAATGCCTCTGAAATGGAAATGCAGAAATCCATGTGGGGAATTTTACAATTTCCAAACTACTAGATACATTCCTAAACCACCTGTATCACAATTTGGGGGACTGGAGCAGAGCAGAGGGAGGCAAATCTTTTAAAGACACTCCACAGGTGACTCTTCCTTCCTTTTATTTCATATCTTTCTGTACTTTTTCTATCATGTGCTAATTGCAATATAATGGAAAAGCTTATTTAAAACAATAAGCAAAAAAATTAACTCCTACAGTTAATCTAATGAAGTCTATCTGCAGTGCAGTAATGGGAAATGACAAGAGTGAAATCTCTAGGGCCTTAAGAATCTAGTGTTTGTTTGGTTTGTTTGGGTTTTTCTGCTTGTTTTTGATTTTTGCAGAACTGGGTTTGAACTCAGGTGGTATCCCTTGACCCATGCCCCAAGCCCTTATAGCTTTTTGCTCAGGCTGGCCTCAGATCACAATCCTCCTTCCTCTGACTGATGAGTAGCTGGGATTACAGGTATGCAACATCATGCCCAGCTTCACCCTGATGTTTAAAAAAATTATAAAACCAGGAATAAACTACAAAATCAGTGTCTTCCTGTATTTTACCTGAAACTGCACTTTTAATAAACATTTGGAAAATTCAGTGAAAGATCTGAAAACTATTCCATATAACTGCAGTGATCTTTCCATGTTTTACTTTCACTTTACATTTTAAATGCCAGACTTGACAAAAATAGCTGATCTTCATTATTGGCATCTCAGCAGCGTTTGCTCTCTTCCATGTGTTTGGCCTTCTAAGTTTTGATTTTAAAGAAAATCCTTGCATAGCTTTTTCATAAAATGCAAGATTCCCATTGTAAAGGTTTTGCATTGGAAGAAATGCTACTAGTTTATAAAAAAGACAAAGTTTAATTAATAGAATGCTTAGCTTTTCTTGAGACAGCTTTCTCTGTGTCCTTGTTGCTCTGCCCTGAGTGTTACTGTAATTGTGAAACAGTGACTGAACCCTTCACTTATCTTTTCTAAAGCAACACCTCTGGACATCTCATTCTGGGAAATGTGCTCCAGTCACAGTCCCATTTGTGTGGGAAGTAGTGATAAAATATAAAGTTTTGTCTTAGTTACATGAACTAAGCTTTAAAATATTTTATAACAAGTCATTTGATCTGCATAATATAAATACATCAAATGTTCAGTAGAACTATTTTTATATATGTATATGTAGGTCCTAAAAATTAGTTTATTGAGAGTTTATAAAGTCAAATATTCAATAGGCATAGACTGGAATAGACAAATGCATGGAAATAACATTCTTTCTGTATACCAGTGTAACTTCAGTATTACATGAGTAACTTGCAGAGAATGCATTAGCTTTGTTCTGTCTTAGAACTCTTGGATTTTCTTTCTACATCTTTGGACAACTGCATTAAAACTTAATTACTCAGTGTATCAATGAGGATTCAGTGCTTGCATTCTGAAGGAGTGCTCCTAAGGGGTGACTGGAGAGGTTATTTTCTGCCTAATTTGTATGTGCCTCCTGGGCATACTGTCTATAGAAAAATACTTGGACCTTTAAGTTCATTTGGGGTCAAGTCAAATAACCCTAGGGCCAATATAAAAATCTTAGAAGAATTTAAGGTTTGCCTTTTACACGTTTTGAAAGTCTTTACATTTTTTGTCAGGTGATTTCTGCCAAGCTGTGGATATAATCTATTCAAACATTTATGCTAACCATTCTGATTTTTTTGTTGTTGTTGGTACTCAGGTTCTCATGCTTGCTAGGCAGGTGCTCTTACTTGCTTGAGCCACTCCTCCAGCCCCCATTCTGTTTTTTTTTTTTTTTAAATGTTAAAAGTGTTTAAGAAGAAAAGTTTAAATAAAATATTTTTAATCTAAAAACATGTTTGAACGTTTTATGACTAAGGGAAATAGACTAATGCAAAAACATCCATAATTTTGCTTTAACATTTATATTTGCTTTAGATCTTCTTTTAATAAACGAAAGAAAACTATACCAATATAGCTGCAATCTCCTTTATATCCTCTCCAATCTTTCCTTCCCTCATTGTACAGGAGCAAACAACATCATAATTTAAATTATTTTAAATGTTTGGTCAGTAAACTCATTTCAACTAGAACATAATTTGATTACTCACTTGCCAAGTCACCAAATACTAATGGTGAGTGCCCATTATGTACCAGGCAGTTTGTCAGACAGTCCAGATTCAAGAGTGAAACACACAGAACAAAGAACCTTTAAAGCTCTGGTGAGCCCACATTATACTTGAAAACACAACAAGCAATATAACTTAAGTAGTGTATACAATATGTTCAATGATATGCTAAATACTAAGAGGGTAAAACTAAAGCAGGGAAAAAGAGGATGGTATCTCTATCTGAAGGGTCAGGTTTGGCATTTTAATTTTGTGGTCGGGGAAGGTTTCACTAAGAAGAGGACATTCAGTACAGACTGAGCAGAAACAAAGGCGTCAGCGAATGCTGGGAAGAGCAAATACAAAGTAAAATAGGCCTAGCATGTTTGAGAAACAGTGAAGAGGCCAAGGCGAGAACACAGAGTGAATCAGGGAGAGCAGCAGAAGTAAGGTTGGAGAAATAAAGGGTGACCAAGATGTGGACAGATCAGAGCCATCAGAGTTGCAATTTTGAAATGTGAAAATACTATATACACCCACTGCTTTATCAATGGACATTTAGATATTTGAGTCCCACACTGAAGATTCCTTTCCTATTCTTAAATGCTGCATAATTTCATCCAGCATTTTTGCATACAAATATATATCTCATAAAGTGACTTTCACAAAACTGTGTAGTATCATTTGCTCAATGTAAGGAACAGAGGAAGCCTACCTTTGGCCAAGTGTTCTTCAGAATAATGGCTCTCTTTCCATCACCAAGTGCATTTCTTAAAAGAAAAACAAGAAACAAAATATTTAAACATTTTTATTCTTTTATTGTGTAACAGTATTGAGCACTGCATATTTATTTGTAGGTTCTGAATTTTCCATGTATATCATCTAGTAAAAAATTAATTTTTGAAAATACATATAATATGCGTCCATTATAGGAAATTTGGAAAATACAGAAAAGTAAAACAAAGGAAAAAAGTCACCCAGAGTCACAATCACAACTACCCAGGAATGTTTACTTTCAGTATTTCTGGAGTATTTCCCGTATGTACCTTACCAACATCTTATCTATGCTTAACTGTTATTTGTATGTTTTTCTGTACTATTTTTGCCTTTCAACAAGACTTCTAATCTCCAAAAATATAAATCCCAAGTCTTTCACACAACACATCAGCTAAGCTATACTGAACAGAGCACAGATGATAGGACAAGAGACCTGAATTAAGTCCAACTCAATCACTAATTCTTTTGGGATCTTTAGGAAGTAATTAACTTTTCTGAGCCCACTTTCTCATCTACAGAATGAGGACAATAATTCTATGCTACCTTTTCTCTTGAGACAGACACTAAATTAGGCACTATGTTAGAAAATGTACTTTAATCTGTCAAGTACCAACAAATCCATACCTTAGTCTCTCAGGTACCTCGCTTCCTTGTCATTAATGACATCCTACACTAACGCTCAGGCACCCACCACCACACTGCTGCTGAACGTAGCACCTCTCAAAAATGTTCAAGCCTTAAATCACTAATTCATGACTCCACTCTTTCAAAAGCGTCACTTATTCCTTCTTACTTATTCAACAATTCCTAGTATCTTCTCAGGGGGTCCAACTCACTCACTCATCTACCTCCTCCTTTTTTTACTTCCCTGTTTGTCTAGTGTAAAATTCACTGCTTCATTTCATATTCATACACAAATTAATTCATAACTCTTAAAAAGTTACAAGAACAAAACCAGATAAAGATAATTTGCACTACCAGATATCAATACCTACTAAAACATTATGTACAAAAAAAGAAAACGAACAATGTAAAGACAGACAACTTGACTAACAGAAAAGGAAAGCAAAGCAGGAATGGATTCACCTATTTATGACAAGAGTGAAACTGCTTGGAGAAAATGTACTCTCCTAATACAGTGGTGGGAAAACTGGACCTTCATATGAATCTCTAACCCTACCTCACACTAAGTACAAAAACCAATTCCAGAAGACCTGCAGATCTAAGCAGCAAAAGTAAACAAACTGAGAATATAGAACACTTTGGTGACCTTAAAGTGGGCAAATATTATAAATAGAATACAAAAAGAAGTGTTTAGCATAAAGGAAAAAAATCGATGAACTGTTCTATATTAAAATTAGTAACTTTCTGGTAAAATAAAACAACAAATATGAAAATGCAAGCCTGAGTATGAGAAGATATTTATAATACATACATCTGACTAATGAATGACTCACATCCAGAATATAAAACAAACAAAAAATTCTCACAACTTGAGGGGAACTCAACTTGAGGGGAAAAAAAAGGTAGGGAGCAAAAGACTAACAGGGACTACACAAAAGAGAACATCCAAATAGTCAATAAGCATGGGCTGGGGGCATGGCTCAAGTGGTAGAGCACTGGCCTACCAAGCACAAGGCCCTGAGTTCAAACCCCAGTACCACAAAAAGAAAAAGAAAAAAAAATTAAAAGGTCAGTAAGCCTATGAAAAATAAAAGTGCAAAATAAAATCAAACAGTGCTCTATCACTACACATCCATCAGAATGTCTAAAATGAAACATGCAAAATAATAAGTGCTGGTGAGGACACAGAACTGAAACTCTTATACCCTGCTGGTAAGACCATAAAATGATACAATTGCATAGGAAAACTATGCACTAAAGCTGAATAAAAACTTGTCCCAACAATCCCATGTCTTGATTATACACTCAACACCAATTTATAACATGTTCACAACAATGCTACCTGTAAAAGCCAAATGCTGGGAACTTACCAAGATGCCCACCAACAATAGAATGGATAAAATGTGGTATATTCATGCAATAGATGAACGCTTTACAAATGCATGCAACAATATGGATCCCCAAAACAATGCTGAGCCAAACATGAAGAGCACACAGTATATGATTTCATTTATATTGGATGAAAACAGGCAAAACTAACCTATGGAAGGCTGGGCAGTAGTTATCCTGGGGATGAGGTGGGTAGTGACTAGAAGGAGGAACAACAGGGACTTCAGGGAAGTGGGGTTGTAATGTGAGTGCTGGTTTCAGTTGTTTGATTTCTGAAAATTAAACCTATACATTTTTTTGATTTGCGTATGTCTCAGTATATATACCAAGATCCTTTTTAAAAGATGAAAAAGAAGAGTTGTCTCTCTTCTGTTGGAGACTAATACCTATGTTAACCACAGTAGCAACCCTGCTATTCTGAGGGAGCAACCTGCTGACCAAGTCACACTCTGGAGCTGAAAGAACCTAGGTCTCTGATGACAACGTTGAGCCACTGAACATACAACCCTTCAGTCAGCCACATTCTTCTGGAAACCTAGAATGAGGTTAGGTTTTTCTTCACCATACAAACCTACTCAATCAAGAGTTTATTACCTAAAGCCAAAACACCCTAACCCAATGGCATGGCTCCAGTCTCTGCAAGAGCACTATTAGAAGTTGTCTACACTAGCTGTCTCATTTCCTTGCATTTCTCAACTCACGTGACAGCCTTCTGTTCCTAGCTTCCCACTGACACCTCTATGGGTACTAAATGATGTCCATATTGCTAAGTTCAAATACCTTATAGGTGCTTCTCAGCAACCTAGACCTAGATGGCTACTTTCACTTACTTCCATGACACCATACTGACAGTTTTCTGCCTACATGTCTAGGCAGGTACATCCTCCTGACTGTCCATTAACTATTTGTGTTCCTCAAGACTCAATCCTGGCTCCTCTTTTAGTCTCAGCCCATACTCTCTTCTAGGCCTGCAGATCTCAACCTCATCTACATATTAGTATTTTGGGGGCAAGTTTCTAAAAGCCCAATGTCCAAGCTTTATCCTAGACCAATTAAACCAGAATCTCTAGGATGGATGGTCTTTCTGCAAAGGTCAAGGGATCCAATGTTCAGTCCAAGTTGGAGACCCCCATCTCCAGCTTCAAATCATCTAGGCCAACTATCCCAAATGTGTGTCCTGCCCTTCTCAGTTCCAGATCCACATAACTCACAGCTATGTAAAAGTCCAAATGTGGATGCTTCACAGGCACTTCAATTTGGATGGAAAGAGTGAAGTCAGGTTTTGCTCTTACAGATGTATTCTTCTCCCAGCAATTCCAATGTCAGTGAGTGGACCCAGGACCCATGAAGCTGCTTCAGACTGAAACCTCAACTCAGTTCTAACCAACTGACTTCTCCCTCATATTCCACTGCCAAACCACAGGAGATTTTTGTCAACTTTACCTCTAAATGAATGACTCCTTCTATTTTTTCCACTTCCACTGCCAGTACACTGCTCCAAGCCATCATCTCCAGTCCAGAGAAACTCCCCACCTCAGCCATGGTATGTCCCTTCAAATTTACTCTCCTTACAAATTTTAAACTGACCCTCATTTTAAAATCCTTTACCATCTTCTCACCATTCTTAAAGGCCAAGAGCCTTAAAGTAGCCTTCAAGGTGGAGCCCCTGTTCACTCTCCTCTCCTCTGAATCCAGGCTACCTGGCACATCACTGATTCCCTAAGTGCAACATGCCCCTTCCCAACCCAGGCCTTCACACTGCTGGCCCACTGTCTAGAACACAGGGACTATGTGTGTTTTTGCTAATTTCTGACATCAGCCATAAATAGAACCCTCAAAGTATCTGTTGAATCAGGGCTAAATGTTACAATAGCACATATTATACACATTCCAATGTTTGCTAATATAATAAGACATTTACTAGCATGTGGCTACATCCTACTACTCAAGCCAAGTGGGCACAGTAAATTACAACGCGCTACTGTTCATCCAAACACCGCAGTCAGGTAACCAAGTTTGACTTTCAGCAACAGCAATACAACATCTCTCTGAAAATGGGGTGACAAATGGCTATTAACTCTGGGAAACTGTGTTAACACAGTAAGAATACTGAACAGATGATTAGATGTGTGCTCCCACTTATCACTGTTACATGGGAAAATGTGAGCCCCAACCTCATAAAATATGCTACACTTTGCCTAAGACAGTAGGGAAGAATACTGTCTCCTTCTCTCTAGTTTCCATGTAGATTGGCTGCAGGAGGCATTCCTGACACTCTTCTTTCTCCACCCCTCACGAACTCCAAAGGATGAATTACTTATCTTATGCTGGCAGAGGGGCACTAGTTAGACATGGCTTAGTCTCTTCTTTTACTCACTCCGCAATCTTAAACACAGACAAAACAACAAAGGCTATTTTCTTAGGCTTAAATGTCACAGGACCCTGGTTGCCCAGTTCTGTCTGTGACTGCAGGTGAATTTGTAAAAAGCCACTTAGATATCTAGACTTAAGGCCCCAAGTCCCAACACATGTATAAGTGGGAAGCCAACTATGATCCCCAGTAGCCCATCTTCTGCATCCATCTCTTAACTGATTCTGGACTTAAGACAGGCAAGGAGATGCTATTTATTCTGTCCCAAACTACAACATGAAAGTTTGTAAGAACCTTACAAGCTGTGTAAGGGTTCACCCCACCCCATTACAGATCAAGGTCTGACCAGATCAACAAAGAAATTACAGTAGCTACTCCCCAAATTTCTTAAACTATTAAACTACAAAAACAGGTGTAATGGTCAATCACTGTCAAATACACAGTGATAACCATCAACTGAAATAACCATCAATTGAATAGGCATATACATTTTAAATAAAAAGTTTCTAGATTTAAGTTTTTAAATGTTCAACTGAGTAAAAGAAATTTATCAGGAATTTATCCTACAGATATACTTGCACCTGAATATAGAACATAAGTAAAAGCATA